GCAACTTGAACAACAATTATTTGGGACTAGTATGGTCTGTAACAAGAAGCTACCGTTAAATTTGTTCGACCTTTAGAAGTTAGGGATCATAATAGATTATATAAAAATCATAAATCTTACACCAATTTTAGATTACAACACCAAATATATATTGAGGTTAAAATCATAGATCTTACAACAATTTTTATACTAGAATATAAAAAGATGCAGTGTTTGTATACACGAAGACTTTCTTGAGTTCTTCAGTGTACAACAAAAATAAAAATTACAAAGTCAAATTCGGTTGCTCTGGGAAAAACCAAACTAAACCGGAAGGAATGAATACAAAAGAATGGTTTCTTAACCGGGTAAAGAATCACAAATGTGAACCGGATGATGAGCCGTCATGGCTGCTCAAATCCCAGTTCTGTTTCTTCTTGTGCTCGAAATTCTGAAAGCATGTCAATGGCCTCATCTGAGAAAAAAAGACAACATGTAGAAGTAGAAACACATCAGAGAGACAAACAAACAAAACTCAGAAGCCAAAAAGGAACAAACTCAATGATATGTGTGTTCGAGAGAGAGAGAGAGAGCTAGAAACAGACCCTCCATTGTCGCTTGTGACCCATGTGGTGAAGAATGGACTCAAGTCGTTTAATGATCTCTCTGAAAGTTGGTCGCTTTGCAGGTTTCTCATGCCAGCATTCTTCTATCAACCTATGGGATTCAAAGATCAGATCGAACCGAAATGGGTTAATGACATGAACCAAACCAATCAATGATGCAAAACTGTTCATTAGTATTTATTTTCTTGGTGAAAGAGAGAAGAAAGCCTCACGTTTTAAGACCATGTGGGTAATGCTTTGATGGAGCTTTAAATAATGGCCGATGTTTGCCAGCATAAGCTTCAGAAGCTTCACTGTCTTCCTTTTCAGAAAACGGCATTCGGCCTTCGATCATCTAAAGAATCCGAAATTCGAATCAATGACATGAAAAATAAATAATGAGAGAGTCGCTAGTTTTTAGTTTTTACTTACCTCTTGAACGATTAATGCAAATGAGAAAACATCGGCTTTTGTATCGTACTCTTCACTAGTGAAAACCTCGGGAGCTATATATCGACCTATAATGTGAATAACAACGATAAATTTTTATTATAACATAACCAGTAATCAAGACTCTTGACCAAGCAGATCAATGATTGAAGCAGCAAAAATTTACAGTAACTAGACAGGTGCGAAAAAGTACTTACAAGAAATGTCTTGACATGTGAAAGGCTTGTCTTCTTTAACAGTAACAAGCTTGCTTACTCCAAAGTCTGCAACTTTCAGATGCCCTGAATCATCCCGCAAAATGTTTCTGCAAATATAGTTTCACCATTTTCAGAACAAAACAGAGTTTGTTGACGGTAACTGCACATATAAGAGACAGAAAACCACTAATATAGACAGTGTGACTCACGAAGGTTCAAGGTCGCGGTGGATTATAGGGTCTCCTTTGATCTCATGAAGATAGCTCATTCCCCTACAAAAAATTCGGAAAAGGTAAGATTTACAAGAGAGTCTAATGGAACATTTACAAACAATGAAGAAGAAGCATATATAGCGTCAAATCGCATACCTTGCAATATCAAGGGCATATCTAACAGCAGTAGCTGGTTTCAATTGTCCTTTTCGTTTGAGCAATTCACGCAAATCCCCCTGAAGAATATATTAAATCAGATCTTGGTTTCGTGAAACTAAAAGAAATAATGATTTCAAATTTCTCAGAGAAAGTCAGTACCCTGGGTAAATATTCAGTCACAATCATCATTGGATTACTTTGAGTTACAGCACCAAGAAACTGCACAATGTTTGGATGCCTAAGCCTTTGGAGCAATGCAAGCTCATCGTGGAATTTCCTCCTGCGCAAACATACACAGAGATTATGGTAAGGATCAGGAACCTTAGAACCGTCTACAAGATATTTACTTACACTTGATCGTCATCGCTCAAAACTTCATCATCGAGCTTTTTCACCGCAACTTGAATACCACGCCACATTGCCATACAGTAAGTTCCCTGAATCAAGAATCTTCACACTGTTAGACAAAAAAGACTCGAAATTATCGATAAAAGATCCATTGGAGACAGACACATGTTTTTACCTTTGATATCTCTTTGCTTTGAGTGAAATCAAGCTCACTAGGACCGATTTCATATTCAGGGACTTCACGAGCAGTCTTGACATGCATTGGAGCCATCTGAAACATACAAATGTGTCAACAATAATGAGGTAAAAAACCGAATCTTCCAATGGCTATTACAGGAAGAGATACAATCAAACACCAAAACAAACTTTCAATTCTTACCGGATGTTTAGCACCATGTAGCTCAAGAATCTTGATTACATCAATGTTCTTGTAAAATATCGCATCTGCAAATGGCTGTTTTCTAAAACGAATTAGAATACTAACAAACATCATCATCATCATCAATCTATCTATCCATCATTACTCAACATAACCAGAGAGAGACAATTAGCAACAAAAAAAAAAAAGTGATTGGTTTAGTTTCTTCTTACAGTGCTTCCCCAACGATCTTTAGGATCAACCTCAGCTTTCCGATCAAGAAGAAGCTCAACAACATCTTTCAATCCTTGACAAGCGGCCACGTGGAGAGCAGTCCGATCATCAATGTCTCTGTAATTAGCATCAATCCCTGAATCAAGAAGCTCCTTAATCCCTTCAATGTCACCTTCATTAGCCAAATACATTAGTCTCACACCACCATCGATCTCTTCTCCATCCTCAAACACCTCTTCTTCTGAGTGCACCGACGGCTCCGGAATCTTCTCCGGCGCCAATGACGATTGCCTACCAATCGTAAACCTCGGCTGTAGGTAATCCTCTTCCATCCCAACAAAACCCCTAAAACCCTGATTTGTATCCGAAAATCTCGGAGTGGGTCAACGAAAAATCAAAAATTTCAATAGAAAAGCTGCAAACTTTTTGGTACCCTTTTGAAAACACAGACCCTAAAACCTTGATTAAACCCGATTCACACAATCTGAGAAGAAATTGAACAAAGAAATCGAAAAAGAATCAAAAAAGGTTTTTTTTTTTTTTTTCCGGAGAAGATGTGAATTAACAGAGAATTAAAACCCAGTGTCGAAATTTATAGGTGAATGATGCCGTAATGGAGAAGACTAAGCAGGTCGGTAACAAAGTCATCGGAGACGAAAAGGAGAAGAACCAGCTTTTGTTGAGCGCGTGTTTGTCACGTGGTTTAAAGCGCGTAATAATGGTTTAAAAGACGTCATCTCTGGCGCCACGGTAACAATGCGTTGACGATAAGCGAGGAAAACAGATCTTACCCGTTGATTTAAACAGCGTCAGATGAAAACTAACGGTTTGGATGAACCCGCACGTGTTTGGATTCGATTCGGCTAAAACGACCGCGTTTTACTTGTTTCGACGCATTTTCTTGCAAGTTTGTAACCAACCTGGCTCGTGAATTAAGGTCACGTATTTTGGGACAAAGACTTTCGAAAAAGATAAGAATCATAAGATTTAAGATACATCAGTTCTATTTTCGTTTGAATTCTAAAATGATTTACATATTTTCCACTTGTTTTCTTTATCAATTTACAGGCTACTTTAGTTGTTTCTTGATAATAGCCACTTTAGTTGGCCAAGGAAAAAATACAAACAAACAACATTGGATAAGATTTCATGCTAAGTATGTGATTCAATTTATTGTGGTGTACTTTGAATAGGTAAAGATTGACATCTTCATCCTCATCCTTTGTTTTTTGGGTCAAATTTTCAATTTAGAACCAAAACTCATTTAACTTACTTATTCAACTTCACAACATGTGAATTTGTATGGTTTTGGCGTTTTTTCTAATTTTTATTTCATCATTTGTCAACCTTTAAACTTAACTATCTTTTCAAATAATTATGTAACAAATAACATGCAATGCAAGGTCAAGATTTTGACATTCGTATCTTAAGACATTGGATAATCAATTTGTTGTCTTAAATGACAAGTTGTCTAATTATAGCTCATATGTTCCTGCTGAAAACATTTTAATATTTATGATCCATTTATTTCAATCCAACTTTTTGGAGTTTTTATTTTTCTAAGTGATTTAGTAACAAATGTCAACTATACATTCCAAATTGGTTCCTAGCTACTCTATAGAGATATTTAGTATAACTCTGATTAATAAATATGAAACAAGAATGTTCCCATGATACATATATATTTGTTGAATTAAGATATAATAATTAGGTTTCGTAGCATCGTATTAACTAAAATTGGATACATACACGTCCCGTGAATTTCAAAGTTAGTTAGATAATAAGTTTCAATGAAATAATATATTTGACAAGGATAAAAAGATCGTATTTTTATATGTAAAATTTAAAAAAATTCAAGTTTCTCTTTTCTAAAATTTTATTTTCACTTCCCATTAATTATTTTTCACAATTTCTTTGTTTGGTAAACAAAAAAACTGTTCCATAATAAGAAAGATAATGGACAAGGAAAAATGAAAAACAAAGTTAAATTAAAACTATTTGATATAAGGGTATAAGAGATAACAAAATAGTAGAATCATTTCTTAATTCGATCCTGTACAATGCATCTTCTATGTTCAATCCGTGGGTCATATCCTAGTTCTATGTTAAAACATATGCACATAGCTTTTTCCTCCTCCTGGAACCTTACTAATAATTCTTATCTTTAATGTCAATTCAAACTTTTTGAACCTTTTCTAAGTAATTTAGTAACAAATGTCAACTAGACTCCAAATTGTTTCATGATTATGTGCTTTTTATTATTATTATTTCTTGAGTCATCTTATTATGATATTATCAGTTTGATAAGAGTCCAATAATTCAAATCCTTGACTAGTTCACCCTTCTTCAAGATATAAAACAAACCACTTAAGTAGAAACAAAAGGAATATTCCCACAAGATGCATATTAGCATATATTATCCTCACAGTAACAATAAATTTGATTTTGTCACAAGACCTTATCACAAAACCAGAGGCAACCGCAAACATATATTTAGACCAAACCGAAAACAAATATGAGCCGAAGTTGTATTGTACATTATTATTCAATCTTAGGGAAAACGATACATTATTCAAAAGCAAGTTCATTATGATCTTTTGTTACAGATTCAGAACCAAACTTGTTGTCTCTCTTAAGGATTGAGATTGCATACAGCCACCGTCTCCCACGACTCTAGAGTCTTGTCTTCGGTATCGGTTTTGCATAGAGCGAGTCGGTTTAACCGGAAACTCAGGCCATCGAGGCTGCTATCGAGCGTGTAAGCTTTCTCCTGCGCTTTCTTCTTCTCTTCCTCTGTTAACTCAGCGTAAAGCAGGCTCAAATGCGGCATGTAAGCTGCGATAATTAGTAGACAGAGATAAATTCTTTTAGATACATATGGAATCATGAATCTAAAATGAGAGATTATACTCAAGATTACCATCAAGGCTCCCCAAAAGCACAAACATCAGACCCTATAACAGTGTGTACATAGGTATCGAATTCGGTTTTCGGTTACTAATTTTCGTACTTAACCAAGCCGATATAATCTCTAAATGTTGATTTACGCAAAAAAAAAAGGTATACTTGGTAGGCTAATGTACAACATTTCCCTAGCATTTCAAGTTCAAAGAAACCTTGTTAAGGGACTTAAACCATAATTAGAGTTCAGAGTTGTCAAATTTAAGACTTAAAACTAAATCTTTGATTTACACAAACCAGTTTTAAAGTCAAAATAGCTTACGTGTGGTAGTTGAACAATTGAAATGGTTCTTACAGTGTTCACCAGCTTTCATTACCTGTACAAACATCATTACACTCCAAAATCATTACCAAAGCCACATATCTTTTATACACAACCAAACCCAAGACTTCAACATGTAATCAAGAATTTTAGTCAAGACCCAATATCTTAATTACTGTTTGTTTAACTATTCTCACAGAAAGATCGAATCTTGAAATGAAAAGTCCGGAGCTTTTTTGTTACCTCTGGGGTGGATTGGAGAAGCAAGAAAACGCATTGAAAGAAGAAAGTGCCGGTGGAGACGCGATCGACGGTGGCTCTGTAAGACTTAAAACCGTCGCAAGCTGATTTGAACATCTTCTTGGCTTCGTCTTCCGTCAGATTAGTGGCTCCGACGACGGTGACGTGAGGATCGAATCTTGGGCCAGTGAATTCAGATCTCAGAGCTTCCATTAGCTTTCTGAACCGCGGCTCCGATTCCTCATCCGGTAATGCCCACACCGAGTATACGTCCTTCTTCACCTCCTCCATGGATCGGTCAATGTTAATTTGCTCCAAAAATATGATTAAAACTTAGAAGATTAACATTTGTATTATTATTATTGGTAATCAAGGAAAACGTTAATAAATCACTTTATTAATTAATTAGACAACGAAATAAAGATGGAGGAAATTATAAGAAACTAAAGTCCAATGGACCTCTATATTAACAACAAGGCCTTTTAGAAATTTGATATGAAAAAGGTAAGCGAATCCAAGTATTTGTTAATATAAGGGCATCAAAGCATCTCCAACGGTTGCAAAATTGAGTATCTTAGCAAAATCTTAGGAATAAAAATCATTAAAATTAATCAAAACCACAAAGAAATGCTAAGATATATATCTTAACTAAGATGTTTTTTAGTTTTTAAGAAGTGCATACGTGTTGTGTGCGGAGTGGTAAAAATGAACAAAATGGGAAAAAAAAATCTCGTGTTATTTTTGTTTTCTTCAGTCTACGCTTTCTTCATCTCTCTCTCTCTAATCGCGAAACATCGACCAAAAAAGTTCTCCGATGAGTCTCGATCCGTCAATTTGAGAGTGGAAATTAGTCGGAGTTAGGTGTTTGATCTGTCGTTATCCTCAATCTCCGATGTAGTCTCTCTCTTTCTCTATTTCTCGAATCTTTCGCAGGCGAAATCTCTTCAACACGTCTAGATCCGTCAAATTGAGAGAAGTTGCAAGTCGGAATTGCTTGTTTGAGCCGTCGTTATCATCATCTTCAGGATAAAAGGTACTAATCTCTCTGATTTCACATCTACATCGTGATGAAGTAGGGTTTAGAGATGGGTCGAAATTAGGGTTTTCAAAATTGGGACTTAGTTGAAGCAAAATTAGGTTTCTATTATGTTAGCAGATTGTATTTGGTAATTGATGCATCTGTTTCCATTAAAATGGTAGAATTGAAAATTTCTCTGTCATTTGCTTGATCCGTTGGATAACTTCGATTTTGATTAGGTTCATTGGAGATGAGGTTCATTACATGGAGTACGGAGTAACAACTTATTGAAGGTAATTCTGTATTATCAATCTTGTTTGTTTTAGTCTATGTGAAGATATTGAATCATTGAATGAGTACATCTTGTTTGTCATTTGCTTGATCCGTTGGAGAACTTCAATTTTCTATTGAATTTGATGCATGGTGGCTCTGTTTATGTCTCTCTGTTGCATTTCCTTTTATGTCTTTCTGTTGTATTTTAATTTATGTCTTTCTGTTTTTAAGAGTCTTTAGTTTGTATGAACTTATTTGAATGAATGAATCAGTGTTTGTATGAATCAGTCTTTGTGCTTTTAAAAATCCATGCTTCAGATTTTATTGCTTCACTTGTGTAAAAATTGAGACTTTGGAGAATTCTAATATATTTGATTGCTCCACTTGTGTCACGGAGCTCATTGACTCTTACTTTACTCTTTTGAATGAGTAAAAACTGAGACTTTGTGGTTAATTATCACTACTATACTGTGCAGTTACAATAACGAACCAGACACATACCGCATTGGAGTTGTTGAGGGAGAACAAGAACAAGTTTGATTCTGTTATTAGCACCAGACATAGATGGTTTCAAGCTGCTTGAGCTCGTTGGTCTTGAAATGGACTTCCTTGTCATAAGTATGAAGCTTTCCTTGTTTTAGCTCTGTTTGATTCCATCAAGCTTTTTCATAGTTCCTAGAGAAAGTTTTTATCTTTAGACAGACTTGAATTTGGTTATTTAACATGATTGCTTGTATTGAAAGATATTGTATTGTAAAAATTTGAATTTTTTTCCTAAGATACTCTCTTTATTCTTAACCATTGGAGCTTGTTTTTCTTAAGATATTCTCTTTCTTTTCTTAACTCACAAAAAGCAAAATTTAGATTATAAATAATGCTAGAGATAAGTTGTTGGATTTACAAGTTCTTCTTGGTTATGATAGATTATTCACTGTGGAGCCAGTTGGTAAATGTGGTGGTTTGGCTTTATTGTGGAAGAATAGTGTTCAGATGGATATTCTTCATGAGGATAAAAATTTGATCGATGTACAGGTGCAGTTTGGTTCCTTTAAATTTCTTCTTGTCTTGTGTTTATGGAGATCCCGATAATAGCTTAAGAAGTGTTGTGTGGGAAAGACTAAAGCGGATTGGTATTGGGAGAAGGGATAGATGGTGCATGGTGGGTGACTTCAACTCTATTTTACATAATGCTGAAAAGGTAGGAGGACCAAGAAGATCTGATTCTTGCTTCAAACCTTTTTCTGAGATGTTAGAGATTTGTGAGATGACAGAATTAACCAGTTGTGGCAATCATTTTACTTGGGCTGGTAGAAGAGGGAGTCACTGGGTCCAGTGTCGATTGGATAGAGCGTTTGGGAATAAAGACTGGCTTGTTCAGTTTCCTGCTTCTAACCAAGCTTTTCTAGAGGTGAGGGGTTCAGATCATAGGCCGGTTATGATTTGTCTGGTGAAAACTCAAGATTCTTACAAGGGGCAGTTCAGATTTGATAGGAGATTTCTCCATAAAGCGGAGGTTAAGGTAGCGGTGGCAAGAGCTTGGAAGCCTGGGATTGTGTCTGGTGGTTTTCTAGTGTCCAGCAGGTTGAGGGCGTGTCGCAAGGCTCTGAGTTCATGGAAAAAAAAGAACAATATGAACTCGCAGAAGAAAATAAACCAATGTGAAGATGCCTTAGAGAAGGTTCAGTCTGAAAGATGGCCCAATTTACAACAGGTGCATGTTTTAAAAAGAGAGTTGTCAAAGGCATACAAAAATGAAGAAATTTACTGGAGCCAAAAGAGCAGGCAAAGATGGTTGAGGTCTGGAAATAGAAATTCCAAATACTTTCATGGTTCTGTGAAAGGTAATAGAGCCAGAAAAAGGATTGAAAAGCTAAAGGATGCTAGGGGTGTTTTTCAGAATTCTGAAGCTGCTAAAGGAGAAGTGGCGGCTGAGTACTTCAACAAGCTTTTCAAATCGTCTAACCCTCATAGTTTTCAAAACTGGTTTTCGGGTTTCAGGCCAAGAGTCTCAGCGGATATGAATGAAAGTTTAATGGCTGTTGTATCTGCTGAGGAGATTAGAGAAGCTGTTTTCTCTATCAAAGCTTCGAGTGCTCCAGGTCCTGACGGGATGACTGCTTTGTTCTTTCAACAATTTTGGAGTATTGTTGGTAAGCAAATGATTAAGGAAATTCAAAGCTTTTTTGAATCTGGTTTTTTTCCTGCTGAATGGAATTACACTTATTTGTGTCTATTGCCAAAGATTCAGCTTCCTTTAGATATGTCTGATCTGAGGCCAATCAGCTTATGTTCTGTTCTGTATAAGTCTATTTCAAAGATCTTGGTGAATCGTCTTCAGCCTATCCTTCCTCAGATTGTCTCGGTGAACCAGTCTGCGTTTGTGTCTGAAAGATTAATCACAGATAACATTATTGTGGCGCATGAAGTTGTTCACAGTTTAAGGACTCATTCTGATTTGTCTGCTAATTTCATGGCTGTGAAGACTGATATGTCGAAAGCATATGACAGGGTTGAATGGAGTTATCTGAGATCTCTTCTAGTTGCTATGGGCTTTCATTTGAAATGGATAGATTGGATTATGTGTTGTGTGTCTACTGTCTCTTTTTCGGTTTTAATCAATGATCAGCCCTTTGGTTTGATCAAACCAGAAAGGGGACTTAGACAGGGAGATCCTCTCTCTCCGTTTCTTTTTGTATTATGCACAGAAGGATTGACTCACCTTCTTGATAATGGTCAAAGAGAGGGAAGGATTCAGGGCATTAAGTTCATTGAGGAGGGACCAGAAGTTCACCATCTTTTGTTTGCAGATGATAGTCTCTTCATGTGTAGGGCTTCTTTAGAGCAGAGTATGTTCCTGAAAGAGACTTTGAAAAGATATGGGGAAGCTACTGGTCAGTTTTTAAATTTCTCTAAATCCTCCATCACTTTTGGCTCCAAGGTCGATCCTCTGCTTAAGCTTAGTATTCAGAACCGGATGGGGATATTCAATGAAGGAGGGGCAGGTACTTATCTGGGAATGCCAGAGAGTTTTAGTGGTTCTAAGGTGGAGCTCCTAAGCTATATTAAGGACAGAGTCAAAGCTAAGTTGTCTGGGTGGTTTGCTAGATTTTTGTCTCAAGGAGGTAAGGAAGTACTATTGAAATCAGTGGCTTTAGCTATGCCGGTGTTTGTCATGTCTTGTTTTAAAATGCCTAAAACTACTTGTGACAATCTCTCCAGTGTCTTAGCTGATTTTTGGTGGAGTAATACTGAACATGGAAGCAAGATCCACTGGCAAAGTTGGGAAAAATTATGTCTTCCTAAAGCCTTAGGAGGTTTAGGCTTCAGAGATATTCAGACTTTTAACCAAGCTCTTCTTGCTAAACAGGCCTGGAGATTACTGCAGTTTCCAGATTCTTTGTTTGCTAGATTCTTGAAGAGCAGATACTATCCTCAAACTGATTTTTTGAATGCTGGATTGGGCACTAGACCCTCTTATGCCTGGAAAAGCATTTTACATGGGAGGGATCTGTTAAGTCGGGGTCTTGTTAAGAACATTGGCAATGGAAAATCTTTTCGAGTTTGGATTGATGATTGGATTGAAGATGATGGCTGGCGTGCTCCTTATAGGAGAAATTATTTTTTCAATCCTGATTTGAGAATTTCTGAGCTCATTGACTGGGATAAAAGGATTTGGGATCCTCAGAAACTTGAGTTTCATTTCCCTCCTTTGGATATTCTTAGAATCAAAAAGATCAAGCCAGTGACTGAACTTGAGGACTTTTATTCATGGAAACATAATAAGAGTGGCGATTTTTCGGTAAAGTCTGCTTATTGGTTAGCTTCCCAATCTAGCAATCTTCAGACCAGAATTCTTGCTGAGCAGCTCCCATCAACGAATGACTTGAAAGCTCAGGTATGGGCTCTTCAAACTGATCCCAAGATTCATGTTTTCTTATGGAAAGTTTTATGTGGAGCATTACCTGTGGCGACTGCTCTTCTAGGCAAAGGAATGAAAATTGATTCAAGATGTCAGCTTTGTGGTGATGAAGACGAATCGGTGAACCATGTTTTATTCACATGTTCCATGGCTAGACAGATTTGGGCTCTCACTGGCATTCCTTCTCCAAGTTGGGGATTTCATAATGGTTCTGTGTTCAATAACATTCATTATCTGTTAATGAATACTACGAATACTCTTTGGCCACAGGAGTTAAGATTATCCTTTCCTTGGACTTTATGGCGTATTTGGAAGAATAGAAATCTTGCATCTTTTGAAGGAAAATGTTTTTCTCCTCTGGAAGCTGCTCAAAAGGTGAAAGAAGATTGGACTGAATGGGTTGAGGCTCAAAAGGGTGATGAAGAAATTGGGTTGGTGAATGGACCTGAGACTCACGGCTTGTCTCCTCTTGGTCATGGCATTGGTAACAGAAGGTCTGGTTGGTCTCCTCCTCCTTTAAACTGGTTTAAGTGCAATATTGGTATATCTTGGTCCAACAGGAACAAGTTTGCGGGTTGTGCTTGGGTTTTGAGAGATCACTTGGGGAAGGTTCTGTTACACAGTAGAAGAGCTTTTGTGAGGCTGTCTGACAAGCAAGAGGCTCATTTTATGGGTTTAATGTGGGCAATTGAGAGTATGCGGAGTCACAGAGTAGAGAATGTGATTTTTGGGCTGCAGGTGGAGTCTTTGGTTAAGGCTATTAACAGACCTATTGCTTGGCCTTCCTTTAGATATCAATCTATGGAGGCGGGTTTGGCTCTTAAGTCTTTTAGGCGATGGAAAATTATTTTGGAAAACTCTTCTTCAAACAGGTGTGCTTTTCTTATTGCGAAGAGTGTTACTAATGATTGTAGACTTCAATCGTATGTTGCGGTGGGTCATCCTTTTTGGCTTGATGGTGTCTTCGCAGTGGAAAGAGCTTTGGCGTCTGATTGAATCTGAGTTTTCGTGGAATCGGCTTCGGAATGGTGAAGTGTATTCCTTTGTATTAGCCCAGCTTGTTTTAGTTTGTGGCTCCTTTTGGCCTGTGTTTTTTGAGTTGTATTGCTCTTATGCACTGGTTTGGTTACTCGGGGATGTTATTGTTTGTAGCTCTACATCTCTTTCTAATATAATTCCAGATGACAAAAAAAAAGATTATAAATAATGCTAAGATGTAAGGTTAAGAACCAAATGGTTCTTAACCATCGGAGATGCTCTCAGCAGTGGTGTATTTGTAGGGATAGATGTTAATAAATTTATATTAATATAATAAAAGAGAGAGAGAGAAGAGAGAGAAGATAGAGAGATAGAGAAAGATAGGGAGTGTGAAGAAGATAGAAGAAGAGCTTACCAACCAAATGCTCCCACGTAGCTCACATTCGGGTGTTATCCCACACTCGAACTATGTAACTTTTCTAACTTTTGCAATATTTTTTGTTTTAAAATTACTCACACTCGGGTAAAAAGTGTACCACTGCTTGTGGTCTAATCTTGCTTCTTTTTTTATTAACATATTGAAAGTTGATTAATCACATGATGCTTCTACACCCAGAGGTCTGGGGTTCGAGTCCCAGATACTGCGATTTATTAATAAATTTGCAGATTATTCGAGAAAAGTGTGCAGGAGATCTCTAACGATGTACAATTATAGCCGTTCGCCAAGATTCTATACAGAGAAGGAAGTGTCCATCAAAAGCATGAAGAAAGAGATGAACGAGGTGAGTATGAAGGAGGTGAAGGAAGCAAGCATGAAGAAAAAGGTGAAAGAGGTATCTTCTGTCGTAAATCTAATAAGGGTCGGAAGGAATTGTCCGTTGTAGAATCGTCTATGTAACAGTTCTCAGAATTTGCAATAAATAATAAATCCAGATGACAACCAAAAAAAAAAAACAAACAATAAAATCCGAATCTTATATTTATGACATGACGAAAAGAAAAAAAAATTCTCATATTTATGACATTATCATATAACATAACACCGTGGTGTGTAAGCTTACGAACTTATCTAAATGTATGAGAAAAAAAAAAACACACACATAAAAGTCACGGGAAGGGAGCTGTTCTCTTCATATCTGTCTCAACGACATCAAGCGCAAAGCCTTTCCTAAACCTAACCCAATAATCAGCGACCAGATTCTTCTTCTCCGGTCCACTGATCCCATCTCTTGACGGCTTCAACGATTCCGTCGAGATTCCATGTTCTTCATCTCTCTTTTTCACCAGCTCCGGTTTTATTCTCCCTAGATTCACGTCTTGTGGCGACACCATTAGTGATGGTACACCTAGTGGCAATCTATCCCCTAAAACAAAAGAAAATAAAAACCTAAGTTTCTAAACTAACTCATATCTCAAAATATAATAAATATGGTTTGTTCTACATATATTTACAAGATTAATTAATTACCTCGGTCTATCTGCCATGTACACCAAAATTTTCCGTAAGATTTGGCAAGATTTTTAAGCTCGGGCTTCGCAACGAGCTCCGGGACCCTTGGAGTTACTAGAAGAGCCATTTGGATCTACAAACAACACTCATTCGATCATTTTCGATTTTCAGGTAGATAATAAACATATCGGAAAATGTATCGAAAATCATGAACCTCGTAATCATGCGAGTGCCAAAGCTTTTGTTCCTCCGGTGGGAGACTCTCGAATAACTTCTCCGACACAATATATTCTATCCCTACAGATTCAATACAATGAAAAACAAAATTCCTAAGTCATTACTCATTAGTCTCTAGCAAACGCTTCAATATACGTATACAACGGTATAATCAATGTCAATACGCATAAAAATGTGCAGGACCATTAATTAACGTACAAATAGTGTATATACGGTACAAATGCATATAAAACAAAAAAAATGAAATCTTTGCAATGTACATACGAAGATTTTTTTACCCAAATAAAATGGTGAATATGTATGTATAAGCCTATATGCACAAGAGAGCCAACATAATTGTGAAATGTATAATTATAAACAACACAACGCAACCTCATAAAATCCCACACGAGAAACACACATTAGAAGACCTAAAATAGTATATAAGAGACGTGGACCACTCCATATATTTCATTGGTTTTGAATTGGAATCCAATAAAACTTAACACAAAGAAATGTAAACAATTTATCGAAGTCGAAGCATGTGTACCTATGAGATGAGCCTTAGAGGAATTGGAATCGTAGACAGCACATTGGAGGAAGTCCTGGTTTACACGTTGGCCGTAGATATGAACTTCGATCTGACGGCCAGGATCGTGGCTATAGCAAGCAAATGAACACACGTGAAGGCTCATTTGCCTGATCGGTTTCATCGATTGCATCATAGCCGTTCCTTTATCGAGCATCGCCGTAGTGGTCTTTGTCGGATCTCCCATTGGCTCCTTTCCATCTCCGCTGCTTGCCGGACACGCCACTGGAACCTTATCACTCGATGCCATCGTAACGACAGCCTTTTTTCTTGTTCTTTAGTTTGGTTCTTGTGTTTTGGTTTTGATCTTATAAGAGAGGAGTGATGTTTGCATGAGGAAAGTATGACGTGAATGATTCGATGCGTGACACGTCATTCGGGTGTGTTGACGTGGCTGATTGGCGACAAAATGACACGCGGCCGGTTCTTAAGCTCTTGGACAAAGTATTGAACACTTGGCAATGTTTGCGACCCCGGCTTTTGTGCTTTGTTTGACGAGTTCGAAATAGCAACTTTTGACAATTTTGCTTAAACGAAGGGTCTTTATATCCAAAATTGCGTTATAATGATTTCAAAGGTAACGATACAGTTGCACCATAAATGTGAAGATAGAATTTTTCGCATAAAAACAGAAAGAAATAAATATATATAGCAGTTAATACAACCATATACGTAGTAGTTCTGGTCAAACTCGTTATAGATCAATTCCCTTATAATATTCGTCACATACTATGTTAATCCATTTGCGGTAATTCAAATTTAAAAACACTTAAATACCAAAATACTCCAATTGCTTCTTAGTGATACAACTTAACCTCCGATGACTAGTAGTACAACGTAGCCATGTTTTCTTATTTGCTTAACGAGAGCTACCGTTTCGCACGGTCTTTAAAAACGAACCGCTCTTAGTTATTTCTCGTAATGGTTTATCGGTATATCGAACCATGTTATAAACCCACGCACCCGAAACTGCACCAACAATTGGAGAGACTATGTAGATCCAAAGTCCTCTGTAGCAACTATAAACCATTGCAGGTCCTAAACTTCGTCCTGGATTCATCGATGCTCCCGATACCGGTCTGATAAAATTGATAAATATAACCATATCTCATTTTTAAATTTTCAGTCGATAAAGAAAAATATATGAACAATGATAGTAATAAATAGAAAGGTTAAATAATAAATTTACCCGGCAATTATCACGTTAAGTAGCACCGTTGATCCTACTGCTAGTCCGGCAAGTTCTCCGATCTGCTTATTGAAACATTTGAATCCAATGTTAAGTTTCTCATAAATTCAAGGACCAAATAAAACATGTGAAATTGCTGAAGGAGGGGTAATAACACAAATAAAAAGAAAAAAACTATTAAAATACTTTGTCCATGTTTCATAAACAACCTTAAAAGTACATTAACATATTAGCTGAAGTTAAAAAGAACATGCTTAAAATAGTTAGGAGTCCCCAACATATAACCATCGAATTTGACAATATATATAATTGATTAATTTGCGTCCAACATAAGAAGATTTCGAAATACTAACCGCTCTATTATCGGTGGCAACGCCGGAAATGACGAACATAAGGTAGAAAGTAATGATAAACTCAATCACAAACGACTGCAAATCCGATCCAGATGGTAATGTTCCGACGAACACATCGTGTTTCCCACTACAAACGTCTTGATCAAGTCCGAACAAGAGCCGTAAAGTCGCCGCAGCAAGCGTCGATCCGATCACTTGTGATATCACATAAGCCGGAACCTAAGAAATCAAAGAAATAAAATTTAGTGACCAATTATGTTATTTGTGATATCATATTAACTAGGGAGTAGGGACACTATTTTGGAATATTGTGAAGATTTTGACGCTTATATAACACAATTTTGTTTGACTTTCTTTGTATACGGACAAATGTTACATGGTAAACTAACACTTTTTAAAAGTTCAATTTAGAAAACTAACGAAAAAAATTAAAACAAATTGGTAAGAAAAATCAATTTATTCCTAGTTATCCGGCTATACTCATCATATACCGTAGACGCATACATTTGAAATTATCTGCACTCAATCACTCATCATGACTCATCTCTATACTCATAAATACGTCTATCAGTATGAATTCAATAACAAAAAAAAAATCATTAGTGAAAGATATAATAATGATTTGAAGGTTGTAATACAACACAAGTTGACGCAAAGAAAACTTAAGAAAAATGCAACTTCTCACGAATCCAATAAAAATATAAAAACAATAAAAACTTTTTTATAACCTATAGTTTCGTGCAAAAGAATAAAACGACAGTTAAACTAAACCTATCAAACACAAAAACACTAATGTCTAAATGTTGTTCATCAAACTCAAAAATTATACTTAAATACAAAACTTGATCAATCACTATTATTTATAATTTATATAGAGTGTAGACCTGTTTAAGAGGGAAGCGGCCGCAAGATGCGAATGCGATTGTGACGGCCGGATTGAAATGAGCACCGGAGATGTGACCAAGAGAGTAAACAAGAACCATGACGGTAAGTCCCCAAACGATGGCGATCCCTGGAAGAGTCACGGCTTTGTCATGTTGTGTGTTCACGGCCACCGCTGCACAACCGGCGAATATCAAGAAGTACGTTCCCAAAACCTCAGCCATCAACTGAAAAACAGAGCAATTTAACAATTTAAAACAGAGCAATTTAACCAAAAAACAAAACAGAGTGTTTCATTATTTTTTAAGACGAATTTCTTCTATAACACAAAAAAAAAAACAGATAGATTTATGGATTATGTCGAGATTAATTATAAAGATCGGTGAGAGTTTTTTTTTTCTTCAAAACTAAAAAGGTTTTGGAGATTGAGAGTTACATAAAGTAAAAAACCTTTTGCAAGAAAGGGACAGAGATTGAGAGGAGAGAGTCTTGTTTCTTCATGGGTTTAGGATTATGAATAGCTTCTTTTTGTTGTTGGTGTTCGTCTTCTTCTTTGAGATTCACCACCACAGCTCCGTCTCTAGCATCGGCACCATGGCCGTTCCCCGAGATCTCCGCCATAACTGTTTTTTTTTTCTCTTTTGACAAACGAAAGAAGAAGAAAAAGATATCAAACTTTAAAAGACTGTTATGACTTGTGTGAATGAGTTTGGTAGCCGATTATCTCCCATTTATTGGCAAATCGAAAGAGAGAGAGAGGATTGGATTTCTACGATTTTTTAATTTGACCATTTTATTAATTAAAAAAAACGATGATGTATTTAGGAAACGATTTCACATGGTATATTTGACCATTGCTTTGCTTTATTAAGAAAAATCTACATATATATAGTCTGTTTTTACTTTTATAACACAGAATTTTGGGACAAAATATAGAATTTTTGAAATACAATTCATAGTATTTTTTATTTTAGTTAGAAGGGAATATAGTTTTTTTAATCCAATATCTAAAAGTATCATCATCGATTATATCTTAAATATTTAATCTACAATTCGAATAAAATGAAATGAGATCATGAATCTGTCATTGCTGTAAATTTTATGTGAAGTGTTAATTTTGATAGGTATACTTCCTAAAATAATTGCAATTATATATAGTATTTAAGAAATATTTAAAATATTCCCTAAATGCTTTGTATGCATTTCCCTAAATACAACAATGTGGATAACTCTGTTCTTATCCGTAAAAGATTATTTTCTTAAGTTGATACGAAAAATCATTTGATTTTTACACGTCATGTGGTTAATGTGATCGTCATATCATAAATGTGGCAGTTATCCATATTTTCAAATGATATAACGTTAGAAGTTAAAACTTATGCCCGCCGGTAAATCGAGTTTTGAACTATAGGATATGAAACTAATTGTTTCCAGAAAAAACAATTAGTTATTTTTACTAGACAGTACATTTTAATTTAGATATTTCAATACTTATATTATAACTTCGAAAATAAAAAGATGACACATTTTGTTGTTAAAGCGTTGTTTTCTAAAAGTATTGAAACTTTTAGTTGTTAGTTTTAAAAAATATTATTTTGATACACCCAAATTTGTTTGTATCATATAGATAGACCAAAAATATAACAGACTTTATGATAAATTAGAGTATCATTTATGATCAGAAATTGAAAAATGTCACTTGATGGAATTGATGAAGGCCTCTTCAAGTCTCCAACAACCAACCGACAATATAGACGCTCTTTATTTTAGTCTATACATATCAGACATATAAGAATTACTCTAAAGTTTCAAGGAACTGTGTACTTGAATCTAGATGCGAGCATAATTATATAGATTCCGATCCATATCAAATTTTTATATTTTACCTATTTGAGTTTCCATATATCTTGCTTGTCTTTTTTTTTTTTTTTTTTTCTGTTAACTATTTTGCTTGTCTTTGTTATGGTCTTATCTAGTTATCTTATCCATCCTAACATGTAACTAATTATGAGAATAAGAAATATGCCAAAAGAAGCTTCTTTACAATTCACAATTTGGATTTTTTTACTAAATTGAGTATACTGAATTTAGCATTGAATCATAGAAAGACTTTCATGTGCACCAATCCGTTAGAATACATACATTTTTTGTTTCCTTTCATCCGTGCTTCAGTATTTTCATATATGTAGTGGTAAAACTGCTTCAAATTGTCACATATACATCAATTATTTTTTTGCCGAACAAACAAAAAAATATCATAGCTGTCAAACTTTTTTTTTTTTGAGGTCATACATCAATTATACTATGTTAATCCCACATGTGCCACTGTACACGTATAATGGTGATAAGACAATCGGCTATATACGATCGAACAATCGAAAATATGTATTGAATGTAAGACCATATGTACATTTAGGGTTTTTAATCTTGATTCACTCAAATTTATTTGGTTTATGAACCATAGAGAATAAAACTCAATGCAAATTTCATACTTCGTTTTTTGGAACTACAGTAGCTAAAAAAAAATTATTAATAGAGTAATATACATTTGATCATTGTTAAACAGTTAAATATTTTTACTAAGAATTACACTATGAATTAATAAAATGTTCAACCCTTATTCCGATAGAAGTTTGTTATTCTTTTTGTCTTATTATTATTATTATTTTTAGCATATGATCTAGTTAAAAAACTTCCCATAAACATCAAATAAGTTTGATAGTAAATAAATAAAAGAATATAGATTGATTGGCATAGTTCTAGAAATAAATTCATAAAGCTGAAGTGAGGACATGTCGTCATATCAACGGAATCATAAGCGAAGAAAGTTAGAAAAAAAAATGAACTAATCAATGCACAATCTCGTGTTGAATTCATAATAATTACTATGTCACAAAAATTTCAATAATATTAACCATATATCTGCTCAGATCAATAACGTTATTGGTCGAGTAGATAATTAACAATATTGTCATTGACATTATGCACAAGTTTCTTTTAAACGGAGACTTTGACTAATACGTCCATCGAATTTGAACGTTTCAATTAAATAATACTCATGCACAATAATTAAAGACTTTTTTATGTTAGAATTATGAATGTAATGATGCACAATAACTATAATTTGTACTTTCAAGAAGTGACTTGGGTGGTTACGATATTTTCTTAATGCGCATGCAGATTCTCTAACCTCCCACTATTTACATTTACATTCCACAAAGATCCCTTTCCCATGTGACTTTGCAAATGATATTAGAAAAAATGGACTCTTTTGAAAAACAGTGTGTGTTTACTCTTTAGATAGATTGATTTAAAAATATGGATTTTTGTTTGATTTGTAATTCATCAAAGAAGTATGAAATCAAATTATTTACATGCTACCTAATTTATTGCATAGATCATTTTCTTCCTTGATGATTTAAAAGTAGTGATTGTTTATTCCATTTACTATATTAGTATGTATTTGATAAATATTTAAAGTTGTTAACAATACCAAATCGGGATTTAGTAACGATTTTAGGCTTTTGACTCTTTTAAGTCATAAAGATAGAAAGAATTAGTTGTTAAGATTTCATAAGTTTTGTGGCAGACAAAGACTTTAATTACTAGACATTGCTGTGTTGAAATTAATTACCTACTGTCCGTAAAAGTCGTTAGTATAACCGTCACCTAAGCACAGTAGAAATTTATACTATTTTATAGTATCACTTTGCAGTTTGCAGAGTTAAAAGTTGAATACATTTTTGACAAATGACAAATATTTTCAAGCACAACAATTGGAAATGCTAGTTTCCATCATATTAGAACGCTTGAACTCAAATACATAAATGTGAACATATATATAAACTTTGACTTTGCAGCTATGAAGAAATGCAAGACATTCAGCTGCATCAAGTGCAACCTTAATCCAAGAGAGCGGCTTAAAATCCCGATTTCTCTGCTTCAAGTCAAAACAATTGTTTAGGGTTGAGTCTTCGATTGAACCTACATTTGAGAAAGAGAAATGATTAGAGACAGCAATAAGAAGATGATAAAGAACAAGAAGAGGAAGAAGACGAAGTGGTCGTCGTTGGTCGCAAGAGAGAGAGAGAGACGTGAGCAGAAGAAGAAAAGTCAACAAAGGGAAGTGGGTTTATGTTTTTGTATTTTTTGGGCTAAGAAGACTAATGGGCTGTTGAGCTTAGTTAGGCCCAAACGAGAAAGTATGTAATATGGGTTTTAATTTAGCCAAGTACTTTAGTTAAGACTTAAGAGTTGTTAGTGGCTAAGGTTAGGTTGTGTAAGGTTGCTTGTAACACTAATAAGTCTAATGTCTAGAGGTAAGGTTAAATAGTGGCCAAGTTTAGAGTCTAAGTATGTAATGTGTGTGAAATTGTTATGTATGAAAATCATGAATGATTAAGAGAGTTAAAAAATTGCTTTTATGGTTGAATAAAGAGAGAAACAAACAAACCTGAGAATCAAGCATGATGGATCGCAACAACAATTCAAACATAAGAACAAGCAACCTCTTAAGTTTCACAAAACATGGAATTTGATCAAGAAACATATATGCTTTAGAGCTTGAATGCACAAAGCATGAAGAGTCTTTTATTGTTCTTATGTTTTTACTTTTATTTTGTTCACCATAACACTCGAGTTTCTTATATAGAGTTCGAATATCTTTCATTTCATAGAATTCAAATGTTTAATCGGTTTAGTGTTGTTGTAGGATTATATTTTTGTTTCAAAGAAAATGCTGTTTTTCAATATTTCCCTATTATATCTGATTATCTATTTGATAAAATAAACTTATAATTATATTAGTGAAAAGCACAATAGAAGTTTTATATTACTTTGCAGAGTTAAAAGATGAATACAATTTGACAAATGAAACTTTTATTTAAAGCACAACAACTGGAAATGCTAGTTTCCATCATATTAGAAAGCTTGAAATCGAATTATATATAAACTTTGGAGATTCTTGATAAATTGAAGAAGGCTCTGCCAGTTTTAGGAATTCAACATATAAAGCTCACACCCTTGCACGATTAACCATAATCATATGAGATAAAACAAGCCTGAAGAAAAGAAGAAAAGAAACTGCAAAATTTGGCATGAGTGTGATCAAATCTAACGACCATCACAGCTTCAAAGAGACAAGTGTTCCTTGCGGGGGGTCTTTTCAAGATCGATTGCTCCCATATTTGCGAGCAACATTAGCGTCCAACAGTGTATCCCAAACCTGCAAACATATACACAAGATTGATTAAAAGTTCCAAATTTAACGATATGTTTTAACTACATGATTAATCTTCTTGTATCTATTTTCCACTCACATGTAGCTCTCCCTTTGAGCCACCGATAGCAAGCAAGAAAGGGTTGTCCACCGCAAAGGAAATGGAAAACACAGCTCCCTGATGACAAAATCAGAATGGTTAGGGATAAAGAAGAAGTTACTAATGGGTAACAAAAATGATTTATGTTGATTGGTTCTCACAGCTTTTGGTTTGTGTGTAGCAAGGCATGAAGGTTCATTGTTTGAAAGATCCCAAAGTTTTACCGTTTTATCCATAGACCCCGTAGCCAAAAGCTGTTAATTACAGCTCATAAATGGTGAGAACTGATTACCAAAAAACAAAAACAAAATGAAAATGAAATGCCATAAGGACATAGATATAGAGAGATGTACATTGGGTGAAGAAATGTTGTATGAGATGGAGGAGACTCCTTTGTCTTGGTCATGTGCTTGGATAGTGAAACTTGGTTTTAAATCAGAATCTGAACCTGACTGTGCAGCACGTATATCAAAACCTTTCACGGTTCCATCTTCAAGACTTACCTTAAGAGGGAAAAGAAACAACAAACTATCTATTGAAAAATGTCACTGGAACCACTGATTTGTCTATCAGAAGAAAAAAGGAAAGTGTCATGTACCACAAAGGAGTGTTCACTATGAGGATCCCAGGCTAAGCTTTCGACATCAGACATGACAGACCATTTGAAACCCGAGTGTGAAGGTTGTCTTCCGTCTTTCTGCAACATAATATACATACAGATATTAATGATCATTGTAAAGGGAAAAGACCGGAACACACGAAAATAAATACCATGGAACAAAACAGTTACCAAGACAACAGTTTGATCAAACGACCCACTGAGAAGCACTTCTGGAGCATAATGGTTCCAAGCAACTGCTTGAACCTGTGAATCATACAAACAAAAAACCATGAGAATGCCATAAAATTAAGATTTCTCGTTTTTCGAATCTCGTTCTTACCTCCTTTGTGTGATGCTCCATAGTAATCTTACACGTTCCAGTAGCCACATCCCAGACCTTAACTTTTTTGTCGGCACTAGCACTAGCAAGTATGTTCCTTTTATCCAAATAAACCAAAAGAAAATCAGACACACCTAAAGAGCAAACCAGAAAAAAACTTTCAAAATTATGAGCACAAGTAAGCTTAGACATACCGAAACTCCTTGTTCCAAGCAAGACCAAGTACTGAATCAGTATGGCTACCTTCTTTGTACGTCTGTAAAGAAAAAGACAGACCCCAAAATTAAATAAATAACTACGTAAGAACTTGCCATAGACAAACTAGAGACAGACGAGTTTGATGCACACACCGGTTTCTTAATCTTCTGTTTCTTACTCTTATCTTTCTTATTCTTCTTTTTCTTACTTACTATCATCTCCTCTGTTCCTCCTAGTTGTATACAAGGTAGCACCTCGTCCCTCTGAAGCATTATAAAAACCTTATCAATAGACTCATAATCGATAAAGGCAAACATAAATACAAAGTCAGTTATATTTACATACAACGTCAAGATCCCATATCTCGATTGTCGGTGATTCCTTTGAACCAATAGCTACAAAATTCCCTGACAGTACCAAGGCAAATAACAGAGTAAGAATGAGATTTCATCCATAGCAAGAAGGAAAAAACCTGCCTCATATGAACAATAAAAGCGTACACTAACCTTTTTCCCCTCCTTTAAGAGGACAATCAATCCATGCAGTACACAATGGGAATTCCGGTATAATTATGTGATGATGAACATACATGTTTGGAGAGCCAGACGATTCCTCGTATACGTAAACCTGGTCATATATATATATATAGCTTTCCATATGAGCCCTAATGTTTAACATGTAACCTACACAGCGAGAAGGATTGACCATACCTCTAGATGGCTGACATCATCTTCATTCCTAGCGCAGATAATCACTGAATCAGTTGGCTTGACTGTCGTATCATCAATATCCTCTTCATCATCCTCGTCCTAAAAAGCACAAACATTTATATCGTATACAAAACAATTTAACCATAATAAGTTTCACTGTAAAATGGCTTACATCAACATCCTTTAGATATGGATCCATCTCATTACTTGGATAATAAAGATCCCCCATTCCAGAACTGAAAAGTTCAATTCCTGAATCCAAAAAAAGGTAACTTTACATAAGGAACACACCAAATTATCTCTTCTAATCAAAATGATCACTTGTAGAATTGCAGAACAAACACCAAAAAGCCAACAAAAACATACCGTCATCCTCTTCATCATAATTATCCATGTCAAGTTCTTTCAATCCTTGAGCTACCTCATCAACCTCCATTGAAGAAGAAGCACTCTTGCTTTTAGAAGATTTACCAAAAGCTTCAGCTACAGCCTTGGCATGATCAACTTCACTTATCTCTTCTCCATCTTCTTCAATCTCTTCTTCATCGTCATTACTATCATCCACGCTACACATAAAAACCAAACTCATATCACAATCTCCTCAAGTCCTAAACTTGGAGAAACAGAAACGATATTAAGTTTAAAAAATCTCACCTTCTGGCAAAAGCACCACTCTCAATGAGCTCTTTAAGTTCTTCCTTTGAAGGAGGCTCAGCAACATCAGGAACAGCTTTTAGATTCCCTTTTGGTATCCATGACACTGCAGTTATCATTCTGCAAATATACAAAACCAAAGAGAGAATCATCAAAATCGGTAAAAAATCGCAAAGGCCGGTTCTTGAGTTCAGGGCAGCTCGGAATTAGGGTTTTTTCGTCATTTGATGAACCCAACAAACTGGGTTAAGCTTTCGATTACCTAAGATCATTGAAAAAGAATCAAAGAGAACTTACGTTTTGAAACGGGACCTAACTTGCTCGGGACGAAATTAATCGAGAACGAATATGAGCAGCAAACAAAGTCAAGACTTTCGTAGGTTTAGGGTTTAACAATTGAAGATTTATTGCTTCTGATGATTTTTTCCGAGAGTGAGATATAGCGGCGCTAAGCGAAGAAGAAGAAGCAAACAAATCAAAGGAATATTGCTTAAAAGCCCCAAAACTATTTAGTTATTGTATTAAAGACCTTCAACTTTAAAAACATACTTTGAATGCCTTGATACTGTTAAAGATGAAATTCTTAATAAATTACCGAAGTGATATTTTAATGACCATTAACATATCTTAAACCAAATGTGGGATTATCCTCCTAACTGACACCCTCTTAACCACATATGCTTGTGAAATAACCATGGGTTAACTAAAAGATATTGAACTTCTTTTGATAAACTAATGGGCTTTTGTTATGGGTCTCTGATTAAACATTGAGCCACAAATTATTATAGCCATTACAAAAGAAAAATAAAACAAACATTAATGAAAGAAAGAAACTACGACAAAATTGTGGTTAAGTGTGTTCGAATGTGATGACCAATCATCAAAGCTTAGCTTGGACTTTCATGGTCGGACTTGTCTGCTTCCGTATCTGCTGGAGACATTAGTGTCCGAAAGTATATCCCAAACTTTTAACTTGCCCATAAGGCCACCCATAGCGAGTAAGAAAGGATTGTCCGTAGAGAAGGCAATGGAAAATAAGCGTCCCTAAGTTTTGAGTCATACAAAAAAATTAATAATTAAGATAAGGAAACCAAAGTTTTTTTTTTTAAATGGTTGATTATTGGTTCTTACATACAGCATTTGGTCGGTGTGTAGCAATGCATGAAGGCTCATTGTTTGAAAGATCCCAAAGCTTTACCGATTGATCCGTAGATCCAGTTGCCAAAAGCTGTTATTATTACAACTCGAAAAATCGTGAGACCAACTAAAACAAACATAACAAAGAACAATGACACAAGAGAGAGTAGACATAGGGCCACAGAAACCCGAATAGTATCCAAGCCACTACGGAGGACACATATTCATAGTACAATAGATGTTTCTGTTTCCAAATTTTAGTATTTGTGATTTGTGTTACTCGTCCTAACATTTTATTGATTTTTAGTATTCAACTTTGCTCTGTAGAACTAGAGTTACTCAGATTTTTTTAACCGAAACGCAATAAATAATGAGAAAGAGACTTGCATTAGGTGCAGAAACGTTGTATGAGATGGAAGTGACTGCTTTACGTCCATGTTGGAGAGTGAAACTTGGATTTGAATCAGAGGTTGAAGTTGAGGCTTGACGAACATCAAAACCCTTGACAGTTCCATCTTTGAGACTAACCTGTAAAGAAGGAAAACACAAGAAAAATATCTAAAGACCGCAAAGAAAATCGATAAGACCGTAAATTAAAGTGTAACGTACCAAAAAGGAGTATTCGCTATGTGGATCCCAGGCTAAGCTTTCAACTTTGGAAATGACTGACCATTTGAAACCCGAGTGTGAAGGCTTTCTTACATCTTTCTGCAACATATATAAATATACACAAACCAATATTTGATTAATGATCACTTATTGTTTATAGGTACTGATTTAAGACACTTACCAATACAACAGTGCGATCAAATGACCCACTAAGAAGTACTTCCGGAGCATAATGGTTCCAAGCAACCGCTTGAACCTGTGAACCGTACAACCAATAAACCATATATAAGAATGCCACAGAATTAAGAAATTTCTCGTTCTACGACTCTTGTTCATACCCCCTTTGTGTGATGCTCCAGAGTAATCTGGCATGTTTCAGTAGCAACATCCCAAACTTTAACTTGTTTGTCGACACTGCCACTAGCAAGTATATTCCTTTTTTTTTCCAAGAAAGTTTCCAAAAATAATAAGATCAGGCACGTCTAAAAAAAAAGCAAACCTGAAGAAATAGACTCAAAATAATGGACATACCGAAACTCCTTGTTCCAAGCAAGACCAATAACTGACTTAGTATGGCTACCTTCTCTGTATTTCTTAGACAAAAGACGAGAAAGCAAATTAACAAATACATTTCTTGTTGCCACTAAACCAAAATAAAGACTACTCACCCCTTTCTTTTTTCCTCCTAGTTGTACGCAGGGTAACAACTCGCGCATCTGAAGCAATACATGAAAACTTAAATTACAACATAGTTTCATGATTGATAAGAGAAGAAATAATACTCAAAAAGACATTTTACTCTCTACATACAATGTCAAGATCCCATATCTCTATTGCGTGCGTTTTAAACAAACCAACCGCTACAAAATTCCCTGCCAATAAATAACCAATAAAAATGATAATTTCATCTATTGCAAGAATGAAGAGTCCCATTGAGATGATTGATACATATCACTAACCTTTTTCTCCTCCTTTAAGTGGACAATCAAGCCAAGCAGTACACATTGGAGGTTTTGGTAGCAATATTTCCTGATGACTATAGATGTTTGGAGAGCCATTAGATGTCTCCTCGCATACATAAATCTGGTCACACATTCATATAAATTCCATGTGAGATCACTACTATATTTTTACAACTAATCAATAATTTTATATGAGGAACTATTGAACGAGCAGATAAATAAATAAGCGCGAGAAGGATTGACAAACATCAAGACAGTTGATAGGAGATTTGATTTTATCGTCGGTCCTAGCACAAATAATCATTGAATCGGTTGGTAAAATTGTTGAATCATCATCCGAGTCATCACCATCATCCTGGAAAAAACAGAGATTTTTATTGTATATATACAACAAGTTTCCATGAAGAAAATTATATGAATAACATAGAGATAGGGGCTTATACATCATATATAGTTCTTGAGATATGGATCCATCTCATTACTGGCGTAATAAAGATCCCCAAGCCCGGAGCTAAAAATTTCAATTCCTGAATCCAAACACAAAAATGAAAATATAACATTACACAGTGAAAACGAAACAGAGATTTGAAAAGATAATAATTAAGCCAAACTTACCATCATCCTCTTCATCGTAATTATCCATGTCAAGTTCTTTCAAACCATCAGCTACCTCATCAACCTCCATTGAAGAAGAAGAAGAAGAAGCATTCTTGCTTTTGGAAGATTTTCCAAATTCTTTCGCTATTGCTTTTGCATGAGCAACATCACCATTCTCTTCTTCATCATCGGTTTCTTCTTCTTCATCCTCGCTGTAAAATTCACAACTCTCTTCGAGCTTTTCGATTTCCTCCTTAGAAGGAAGTTTAGCACGATCGGGTATGGCCTTTGCAGCCCCTTTTGGTACCCATGACAATGCACTTATCATTCTGCAAAAATAAAAAAGATCCAACAAACCAAAGTAAATATACCTAAACACTTTTTCAGCCTCTCACGGAAACCTTAAAAGAACTAGCATATATATATGTAACACAATAAGCCATCAATCCAATCCCAAATACTTCATATTCTTGAGAGGAACAATAAAGATTATATAACGTTTAGAATCCGGTAAAACCGTAACCAAGCGACATATCTACAAAAATTTGTTTGCCTGATTAACTATAGAAAAATGAAACGTTACAACGAAGGAAAACCCTAAATAACCGGCGATGAAGAAGGCTAACTATCTTTCATATAAATCTCATTATTAGAATCTCTACTTTGAGATTGAAAAGGAAGAGAACTTACGTTACAAACGAAGCTACGTACACTGAACTCTTGCTCTGGAGACTGGAGGTATCTATCGAAAGAGATAGAGAGACCGAACTAATAAAGGGTTCCGTTTGTTAACCCTTTTTTATCGCTTACATAAATTCATATAAATAAACTTATGTAGATATGGGCCTAGCTTTTAGCCATATAAGAACAATTGGGCATTTAAATTGGATCCACTAAGCAATTTATTGACTTGTAATAGTCCAGTTGAAGTACTATACTCGTATTATTCGTGCAATTGTTAGCTGACTTTCCTATTGGCTACGTACGACTTTTTGGACATATCTTTGGTCTTTTAACGTAGTCCAGTTTTCTGTTATCTTTTAAATGTTAAAAAATACAAATTTTCAACGATATAGAGATACTGATATTTTCTCACGTTCACAATGGTTACCAAAGTCCAATTTGGCTTCAATAGTTTATATGAAATTCATTATACTAATAACATCACTAATCTCAAATCCAATTTCCACAAAAAAAATAAAAAAACAAAAAATAAAGCTTCGAGATATAAAATAGATTCTAACTACAAACTTTAGTCAAAAGCCAACAGAAAAAAAAAAAAAAACAGAGCTCAAAATGTTCTTTTTTTCCTTTCCTTTCTCCTTTTTCTTTTCCTCAGTCACCTTTAAACATCACACTGAAAGAAAAAAAAAAAAAAAAACAGACAAAAAAGAAGAATTAATGATAGCAAACGACTTTGATTCTTCTCTGAAATCATCATTTGGTTCTTGAGTTTCCAAGTGTAAGTTCTAAATCATCTGAAACACATTCTCCATGTATTCTTTCTCCTTCCCAAGGCTTCACCATTCCAATAGCAGCGATTGCGTTACAACCAAACGCAAACTCAGCCGCCATTCCATCAGCCATTGGCACATCAGAGTTCTGATCAACACCAGCAGGAATAGCTGGAGAGCAGTTTCCACTTTGTCCAGGAGTCCACATTGGTGAATTACAGTCTCCCATTTTAAAAGCCTCTTTGTCGAAAAACGGGTTCCTTGAAACTAAACTGAAGGTAGGAGAAGACGGTCCGCTCTGTGGAGTTTGCATTCCAGAGAGCCATCCAGAGTCGGGGATGGTTACTTGATCACGAGTAGGGCTTCGAGCCAACGGCGGAGTCACGGGAGCGCTTATCGAATTTCCATGGAAGAAGGGAAGCTTGGAAGGTGAATTTGAAGAGAGGTTCTTGAGCCATGGGATTAGTGAGTTAGCATCACCAAATGGGTTTGTAGGACTCGGGAATGTTGAAGATGAAGGGCTTGGATTGTAGGAAGCACGAGGGCTATGTTGATACGATGAACATGGACTCGCTGAAGTAGAACCATTCATGAGTTCCATTCGATCCATTGGTCTGCATCCCTACACAAGAGTTTATTGCAAACTGTAAGAAATATCACAAAAATGTAACCAACACAATCCATTTGAAGCTGATACTCTCTCAATCTTTTGCTAGTGGATTAATTACATAATGCAAAAGCTGGTAAGCAACAAACAAAAAGACATTATGATTAAAATTGAAAATCCAAACGCACCAAGGAAAACAAGTTATAAAGACCAATGATTCTGTTTGGTTTTATAATGGTCAAAGAACAATCTTTGCTAATGGATGGAGAATATCTGGAAAGAACAATCTTTCCTTATGGATTATTTACATAAAAGAGAGCATAAAATGTTTTTTTTTTCTTTCTATTTTCACGAAATGTAAGAGCTGGTGAGCATGAACAAGATGACATTATGATTGATAGTTGAAAATCAAAATGCACCTATAAGCAGGAAAAGTGTAAGGACAATGATTTTCTTTGGTATAGTGCTCAAAGAACCAATCTTTACTAATGGATCGAGAATATCTCACAGAATAATTACATTAAAGAGAGTTCAAAATGTTTTTTTTTTGTTCTTTTCCCATTTTACGAAATGCAAAAGCTGGTGAGCAACGAACAAGATGACACTATGATTGATAATTGAAAATCCAAATGCAACTAAGGAAAGAAAAAAGGTAAAAGAACAATGATTTTCTTTGGCATTTAATGGTCAAAGAATGAATAATACAATTCCTTTTATTTATCCCCACACAAGCAAAATCCAAACATCATCATTAGATGTTGGCAAAAGGGAAATCATTTCCCAAGTCTCACCCATTGACCAGTTAAACAAGAATTAGGACAGTTTAACATAGTCGTATTAATTTAAATATATAACAAAAAATTACTAATAAACACTCATGGAAACTATTAAATCACACGAGTCAAGAATCCCAAGTCCCTTTATGATTTTCTTGACACAATTTAGTACTAAAATCCACTGCAACATAAGTTAAAAATTGAGTCTTTTTGACAGGTTAATTAACTTTTGCTAATGTAAGTGTGAACATAAGCAAATAAAGAAAAAGTTTTGTCGAGAAAATTTTATGATTCAAGAAAAGCAAAATTGGAATTTCAGAGAAAGCGTCAGTCTGAAAAAGTACCAAAAAAAAAAAAACATGTGAGCAAGAAAAAAAAGCCTACCTCGATCGTTGTACTAAGGAATCTAAACCCAATACCCCGAATACCAATGGCAGTTTCGTGAAACAGACGTGTCCTAAAGTTAAAAAATCATAAAGCACAAAGAAAAACACAAAAAGAAAAATTCTCAAAGCTTATAGTATTTTCTAATGTACATCACTCAAATGACGAAATAACCCTGAAATATCCTTCTAAGACCGTGTGATTAGTAAGGGTAATTTAGTCATTACTATTCTCATCTGAAAGTGAACAGAGAGTTGTTTGTTGAAAGCATCAGCGAATCTTAAGACATTCATGCTTTTGTTTCAGTTCACCGGAACAGTTTCGATCTGACGTTTGCAATGACTAACTAAACCATTCAAAATCAAATCACAACCGTCCGATTTTTTTCTCTCCGTAAAATCGAACGTTCAGATCTATTCACAGTTTTAATCAACCTAAAAAATCTACAAAATCGATAATATTTTCAAGAAATTTAGGATCATGTTTTTTTTTTTTACCTTGCGGTAAGTAGTTCCGTCGTCTTCTACAGTCCAGCCAGCTTCATTGCATAAAGCTTTGAGAACTTCGTTGTTGTCGCAGTGTTTAGGGAGCTTGAAGTTTCCATGAATTCTTAGTCCTGCGAAGATCTTAGCTGCAATCGCTCGTCTTCGCCGCTCTCGCCGTTTGTTGTTCTCTCTCTCTTTCCAAGTCGGCGTTCTAGTCCCCGACGTCATTTTCAGATCACCGGAATTTGGAGAAGAAAAAAAAACGGCGTCGTTTCTCTGTTTTAACTTCCTCTTCTTCTAAATTTGTTAGCTCGTAGGAGATAGGATAAAAACTCCCCGGTGAAAACTAATTTCGCGCTTTATTTTTTTTTGTTCATTTTTGAGAATTTTCTGGTTCTGAGTTTTTTCTGGTGAGTACATAAATGAAGAAGCACTTAGCAGGGTGAAGAAAAAAGAGGTCGGGTCATGAAAAGACGAATTTACCCTTAAAAGTATATTGTAATTTACAAGTATGTCCCATATCATATGTGTTAACACGTGCTCAGGCTTTTTTAATAAAGCAGGAAAATGGAAAATGTTTGACCACAAACGACATCGTTTTGGTATACTCCTATATTTTTGAGAATTTTCGGTTTTTCCGAAATTACAGAAGTCAAGAATATCAAGCTGCTTTTATAATTATCTTTTTCTTTTGTGTCAAACATAATGTCTATTTTTGTATATAATAATAAATCTAGCTTCTATAATGACTATTTTTATCAATTTAAACTTTATGCTTATTCAATGACAGCATTTTCCAACTACGGATGACTATCCACATCTAATAGAGACTATGAATATTTCCTCAAAAGAAAATAGGGACTATGAATAATTATGTTATTAAGCTAAACTAATTAGTAATTAATTAAAATAATTGCGAGTCCAAAATACGTGGCAGAGATTGCGGCATCTAAAGGGATGACAGGTCACACCTTTCGTGGGATCACAAATAGCTTTAAAATCTAATCATGACCGTTGAATCGGGTGGGTCACGTGATGCTCCCGATCTGCTTCCCATCAACTTGTCATTGCTCGTGACTCCTTTGCTCTTTTTTTCATTAATTTCATTTTCTAATCTATTACGTAGTAAGTAATTAGAATAAGTAAGCTATTCTTTGACATTATATGAGACCATCTGTTACCCAACCAATAAAAATATTCGAACCACTGAATAGAAATAGAACACATACATAATGTTCGTGTATCACTTATACCAGCAGCTTTGATTCCAAGTTTCTTATATAATGAACAACAATTTTGGGTTTTGTCTACACATGTCTTTTATTATCCGACACTAAATATTTTTGTAGTACTATCCACATTCCACACTTGCCTTTATAATGTCTATATATATCAACTAAGTAATAACACACGTTGTGGAATATTTCAAATTTGTGTATATATGACTTCAATAATAGTATGAGTTAACGAAGGACACGAATTAGTTGAAACAATATCTTTCATCCTTATCAAACAAGGGTGAACAAAATATTAATCCATAGAAGGAGATATTATAAGATCTGGGAACCGAAATAACGTTATTAATTCTCTATCTTCTGACACACGGAATTATGACGAAAATAACCCTACGTCTGACACAATTTCTAAAAGCTAACTTGAGATCTTTCAAGACGAGAACAATGAATTATAAAACCAAACAATGAAGTCAGATACTAATAGATAATTAAGAATATATCGGGTAACAACATTAACGGCTAACAACAAATTTGACAATGGTTAACTACGTTATCCAAAAATAGGAACACAATATCGAAACGCAGGACCAATAAAGAAGGTAAGTAATGCAACAAATAAGAAGCGGTGAATCAGTAATATAAAATGTGACAAATGTAAAGTATAACTAGTAGAGTAACAAACAAAGTAGACGATAACAAGCGTCTTTCCATTAAAATGAGTGAGCCTTAAAAAGCTTTAAGAATCTATGAAATAGAAAAATGTAACAAAAATAATAAACATTATCACAGGTACGATCGCTAAATAAGTTATCGGCTAACTAATATAACGGATAAATACGTTATCGGCTTGGAAAAAGGCAGATCACATTCACTTATCAAGAGTTATAACACTAAGGTAATAAACCCATTAGACGTTAACACATATGTAAAACCTAATAGCCGTGCGCAGTTATATTCAAATGTAAAGTATAATTACTAGGGTAACAAACAAAGTAGACGATAACAAGTGTTTTTCCAATAAAATGAATAAAAGACTTCTAAATAAGTTACGGGTAAATACGTTATCGGGTTAAGAAAAGGCAGATCAAATTCACTTAGGAAATGTTATATCATTAAGGTAATAAACCCATTAGCCGTTAACACATATGTAAAACCTTGTAGCCGTTACGAAATGTGTGTTCAGCCACACAATGAAGTCAGATACTGATAGATAATTAAGAACGTAGCGGGTAACAACATCAACGGCTAACAACAAATTTGACAATGGTTAACTACGTTATCCAAAAATAGGAACACAATATCGAAATGCAAGACCAATAAAGAAGGTAAGTAATGCAACAAATAAGAAGCGGTGAATTAGTAATATAAAATGTTACAAATGTAAAGTTTAACTAGTAGGGTAACAAACAAAATAGACGATAACAAGCGTCTTTCCATTAAAATAAGCGAGCCTTAAAAAGCTTTAAGAATCTATGAAATAGAAAAAGGTAACAAAAATAATAAACATTATCATAGGAGATAGCGGGGTAGACAAGGTTGAAGGAAACAGTTAGTGGGGAAGATCATTGGAAGATTTATCGTAATTGAAAAGATCACTGGCGGACCAAGCGGATTTGTTCGGAAAATCCAACAAACCCCTGAGTGATGAATCTCTGATTAACTGAATTTCGTTCTTCTTCCAACGAGTCGATGATGCCTCTAAGAATTTTCATCTTGTAGTACACATTGGCCCTTTCTCCAAGGGGTTCTTCACCACCACCGATTAGACAATGATGAAGGTATCTCCCATCTATAAAACCCAGAAATAAAAACAATCTAAGAACAAAAAATACGACATAGATCCGAAAACATTAAACAAAAATAAAGTTTAATTGAGATACTTACTTTGACGAACTAATCGTAAACAAGCAGCAACTCGATCGAAGAATCGATATGAATATCGGAGAAAAAAAAAAATTCGGAGATAGATGAAAATTGAAAACACTGAGAAAAAAAATAAAAAGCAGTTGATATAGAGCCCAAAAAACACGATCCTTCGATTTCTCACCGTTCTCATGATTAATACAATACAAATCTTATTCTTAAAGAAGTATCGAAAATCAAATCTTTGGAGAGATATGATATCTTTGTTCTGACACACAGCTACTTTTCCTGCATATATCTCTTTTATTAGATCATAGAAAAATAGGGTTTATTGGTCATTTTTTGGCTACAGTCGATGGCCAAATAGTACAAAATCCTGTCAGTTAATTTCCAACTCATCTGTGGTCACCGCCTATAGATTCCCATATTTGGAAAGTAAAACCAATAAACCACATTAATTATGTTTTTTTTTTTGTTAATTTTTTAGCAATTTGATAAAAAGTGACTTTTTATGTATTTGCGATTACGGTACATGCATGTTGGTTATCTACGATTTCTATAGTTTAGTTAGATTATTGATTTTTTTTTTTTAATTGTGTCTTTACTGAAATTGATTATTTTAGCAGAGCTTAATATTTTAAAAGGTGAGTTAGCTCAGAGGTAAAAACAGAGATGCAAATTAGCGCAGAGGTAAATGACTGCTTTGTCTCCAAATATTGGAAAAATAGCTTCACTTCTCGCCCTCACATTCGTAATAATAACGAAAAAACCAATGGTTTACGTATCCATGCGAGTGGGATAACATTGTTGACTTTTTTTTTGGCAGAAAAGGACGAAGCGACGTCTCTGTTTCGGACGTGACGGTTACGCGGCGACAGAAGAAAGGAAGAACATTAATTATTGTGTTTTTATCAAATTGAGAAAATTTTAGCACTCTACAAATATATATTATACGATTTTGATATTTGTAAACATCTAAACACATATATGGATCAATGTATACATGTAAATATATATATATAAATATATTTATTTATATATATATATATATATATTATATATATATATATATATATAGATATAGAAAACATTATAAATATTTGTATACATGTAAACATGTACATTAAGCATTATTAACATTTGTATACATATAAACACATATATATATATACATATATATAGCGTTATTAATATTTGTATACATGTAAACACATATATAGAGCGTATTAACATTTATGTACTTGCTTCAAAGAGCAAGTGTAATAGTGCATCGTAATTAGACACTTAAATATCATAAGTTTCGTCTGATTTTCGATTGATTTTCACCGATTTTCATCGAGTTGTCACCGGATCTATACCGTATTTTGTCGTATTGGCACTGACTCTTACCAGATTCGATCGATTTGTCATTGGATCTTTAACATATTTTGTCAAATCTTTACCGGAACTTATATAGATTCATCATACTGAAATTAAAGTACGGATTGTGTCTATATATCTTTACCAATTCTTCTTTGTTCGAAAATAATCGAGAAAATAGCTTCGAATTATTTATAGTCTTACAAAATAAATATATGTTAATCGGATATTATGACCAAAGAAACAAATATATACATAAATCTACAAATTTTGTTGGATATCTACAACATATTGATAATGAACATAAGAGAAAAGTCAGAAACTGAGCGAGTGAGGCTAAAATCGGAAAAATAGTGGGCTAATGTTACCATTGTTTTGGGTCTCGACAAGAATTTACCAAAAACTAATTATGATCCACATCTTTACTTCCCACCTAATTATCTCTATTTTAAATTGGTTTTTGATATTGGAATTTTGTAATATAGCGTTGACGGGGACAGTGAACTAAGCACATACGTATGGATTATTTAAAGAAATGTCAATATTTAGCATCATATATCAATCGACCCGGATTAATATCACAATGTTCTTTTACCTCAAACAGTTGTGAATTAACGTTGGACATGAATTTAGAATTCCTGTTTCAAAGCATTTGAATAAGCTAAGTGGTCTTATATCTAGGTAATACTTTAATACTTCTTCAATCCAACTTTTTCGTAGACTAACGTTAAACTTACATGATGATACTGACTTAATTCAATTTTTCTTTACATAATACAAATCTAGTAATGAGGAAAAGATCTGATTTTATATTTTTGCAATTGATGCATGGGAAGACAGACTGGAATGAGTACATGTACTACGAACATATATACAGTCGAGAAAACATGATCAAAGATTTGGGATGATTCATATATAGATAATATTTAATGGAAACTAAGGATGGTTAAATGTAACAATGACGCAAGTTTCAAGCAAGATACTTGGACGCTCACGCACAAAGACTAACATGAAACACAATGCAATCATCTTATTATTGTGGCGGTTACAATTAGATATATATATGGAAAGGGATTATAAGATTTTACATGACCTTTTTATCGTAACTCGTAAGAAAAGCAAGAATATACTAGTAGACATCCATAAATGGGGAAGCCATTTTGCCGGAACTCAGTTCAATAACATTCCATTGTAATCAAGTGGCCGATTACTCTGGCCAAAATGGGGCATCTCGACAACGTAAGACTACATAAATCCATGTATATCCTCTTATTTGTCTTACCATTTTGTTGTTCCATGATTTTTATATTATGTTCATCAAAATTATAAAAAAATTCAGATGTGCAACCAAAAAAAAAAAAAAAGATGGCATGATATTTACCAAATGCCATCACAGATTGAATATTCAAAACAAGACCTTAAGATTTCGTGTCATCCAAAAAAAAATCAAAGACTTTTCTTTAGTTTATAAATCCCAAAAAGAAAAACAAGGAATTTTCTCACGGTCATAAATGCTTCTACATTCACAAACAAACAAGATCTCTTTGATATTTTTTTTCCTGTTATATTTTTTGACTATTCACATTTTTATATAATTAAAAAAAAGTTTATGCTTAAAAAACAGCTCTATCATCATCATCTCATGAGGTGATTTTGATAATAATAAAATAAAAAAAATTCCACCAAACCCAATCTTTGCAAAACAATGAAACAGCTGTTCTGTTGTGATTCGTACTTGCTTCATCAACCTTTATAGGAATCAAAAGCTAAATCCCCAGAAATTTATAATTCTTCAATTGTTCGTTATTGGTTATCGTTTACGCGTTTTTAATCGGTTAATTAAAATCATCGACGAAAGGTTTGACGAATCGTCGTCAATCTCCAACGGGTCAATCGACTCGTTTACTTTTCTTCGGTCTTCTCTCCACAAAGAGTCTCTCTGATATTTCAGCAGCAATAATGGTAGAGAAAGTTACAGAAGCAGACAAATCATTTCTGTTTTGAAATTCTCTTGTCTTCTGATTAGATAAATACCCAAGTCCAGAAGCTGTTTAGGTTCGAGAAGCAGAGAGGGTTCGAGAAGCTAATAAAAGGTTTCTTCTTTTTATCTGATTAGGTGAGATTTTAATGCTAAAAGGGTTCTAGATTCGTTGAATTCTACAAGGGTTTTAGGGGTTCTTAGAAGCTTTTGTTTGATTGTCTTTATTTAGAAACAGTGGTGAGTTCTTTTGGGGTTTTTGTCTCTCACTTTGTTCAAGTTTGAAGCTTTTTTTGGAGGGAATTTTCGGTTTCTGATTTTGAATCTTTGATCGAAACTTAGTGATAGTAAGTTCTTTGAGTCCTCCATAACTCTAGTTTCTGTGTACTCAAGTTATTGAATTGAAAGTTTTTATCTTTTGGTTCTTGAAGCTTCATAAAAAGAGTCTCTTGCTCTGCTTTTTGTGAGTGTGATTGTTAGCTTGGAGTTGGAAGTTGCGTTTTTTAGATTTGTAAGTGTTTTAGAGATGGATGAGAGTAATCATGGAGGTACATCAAGCTCACTCCCACCTTTCCTCACCAAAACATATGAGATGGTTGATGATTCTTCATCCGATTCTATCGTTTCGTGGAGTCAGAGCAATAAGAGTTTCATCGTTTGGAATCCGCCGGAGTTTTCTAGAGATCTTCTTCCGAGATTCTTCAAGCACAATAACTTCTCAAGCTTTATCCGTCAGCTTAACACATATGTAAGTGTTTTCATGCTTTGTGTGGAGTAGTTAATTAGATCAATCATCTTCTTGGTTGGTTTAAGTTTAGTTGGAGGATTTTGTTTATGTGTAGGGTTTTAGAAAAGCTGATCCTGAGCAATGGGAATTTGCCAATGATGATTTTGTGAGAGGTCAACCTCATCTTATGAAGAACATTCATAGACGCAAACCAGTTCATAGCCACTCTTTACCGAATCTTCAAGCTCAGCAAAACCCGTTGACGGATTCAGAACGACTGAGAATGAATAATCAGATTGAGAGATTGACAAAAGAGAAAGAAGGATTGCTTGAAGAGTTACAGAAACAAGACGAGGAACGAGAAGTGTTTGAGAGGCAAGTTAAAGAACTTAAAGAACGGTTACAACACATGGAGAAACGTCAGAAAACAATGGTTTCGTTTGTTTCTCAAGTATTGGAAAAACCAGGGCTTGCTTTGAACCTCTCGCCGTGTGTACCCGAAACAAACGAGAGGAAAAGAAGGTTCCCTAGGATCGGGTTCTTTCCTGATGAACCGATGCTGGAAGATAACCAAACGTGTGTTGTTGTGAGAGAGGAAGGCTCTACAAGCCCGTCTTCACACACAACAGAGCATCAAGTGGAACAGTTAGAGTCATCGATAGGTATTTGGGAGAATCTTGTATCGGATTCTTGTGAAAGTATGTTACAATCAAGAAGCATGATGACACTTGATGTGGATGAATCATCTACTTGCCCACAAAGCCCTCCTCTTTCTTGCATACAGCTAAGTATCGATACACGTCCCAAGTCTCCTCCTTCTCAAAGGATCATCGACATGAACTCTGAGCCCGATTTTTCGAAAGAACAGAACACTGTTGCTGCTGCTCCTCCTCCAGTAGCAGGAGCGAATGATGTCTTCTGGCAGCAGTTTTTCACAGAGAATCCTGGCTCAACCGAGCAACGGGAAGTTCAATCAGAGAGGAAAGACGATAAAGATGAAGCCATACGTAGTGAGAAATGTTGGTGGAATTCGAGGAATGTAAATACAATTACAGAACAGCTTGGACATCTGACATCTTCAGAGAGAAGTTGATATGTCAAAGTTTAAATTATAGTCTGTTTTAGTTTCTTGTAAAATAGGTTTTCTCAGTTTATTTATTACATGTATGATCTTTCACAGTTCATTGTAGCAGACTTCAATGGTGATGATAAGCTAGAGCATATGGATATTATTCATAAAATGAGATTGACCTCAAACAAAATCATAATTTGCAAAGTCCTATATGATGTTGTAGTCGAACCTCTTGTTCCTTTGCTTGCTACACGAGATAATTGCACCCGATGAAGGATCATCCACCGTCTCATAACAAAAATTGTGGACTTGGTAAACTTTTATCAGTATACCATTCAAAGTTATAAAAATACATATAACGTTTTACAGTAATAATTACAAAGAAGGGATTTCAATAACTTTTTCTTGGAGATTACAAAAACAATTAGAAAGTAATGTTGGTTTATCTTGTATTGCAAAAAAATCAACTTTTTTTAGCCAAATCTAAAAAAATTTCACTACAAATCACCTCTACTCTTGTAAATCTAAATGTTTTTCTGATTATTTTTTTTTTTAAAATATTTAAAATAGAATGTAGGGGTAATTTCGTCCAAAGTGACAATCTCATCAAAAAGGTATATATGGACAAACTTTTTAGTAAATATATTTATTTTTTTTTTCCAATTTTCCCTTTATGTATATATCTTCTCGAGCATAATACTGTAGCAACAAAAATAAAATACTTGTGGAAAGGATGAAACAAACCATTATTTTTGTTCCTTTCTCTTTAGTTTTGTCAAATACATTTCGAATATTTTCCACTTAGTAAAAAAGGAAGACAAAATTTGCACTCAACCAATTTCTTAATTACTTTATTTTGAATTTTCTCTTCTTCCTAATTCAATTCCTCTTAATAATTGATCTTTTTATTCTAACCGTTAATTCACCAGTTGCACCCTTTATTTATTTTAAGAAAAATATTCCAAAACTTGTCCACTATGAAACCATGGTTTTCCCGAAATATTTTAAGGTGGCAGCCAACAAGTATCCCATTTGATTTTTTTTTTTTCCACATTCTATTTGATAATTGATGAATCTATGTGGCTATGAGGATCGCCATGGCACCTTGTGGATGGGAGATATTTTCCAAATTCATGAGAAGTTAAAGTGATGGAAGTATGCTAAGTAGTGTTGGCCAAGAAACACCATCCAATTGTGTGAAATCTCAAGTTTAACTTCAAACATGTGCTTTTGATGGGGAATTTCACATGTTGCACAAAAAAGAGAGAGGGAAGTTTCACATATGAGATGTGTCCCAGTTAACTATATGTTTTTGTTGATGGTTGTATGTGTCCCAATTAAAGTATATTTAGCTTTTAGATATGAAAAATGTGTTATGGAATGCAACAAATGAGAGAGAGACAGAGAGATAGTTATACTTTTCTAATTAGGTTTTCCAGAATATTTTTATATAAGATGTTGTTTTTTTTTCTTAAATTTAATTTTCTATAAAATGTTCTTTTAAGATACTTTTTGAAAGCTCATATCCTTTTGATGTGATATTAAACTTTCCTATATGTAAATTTCAATTCGAGAAAACCGTGTGCTAATTAATGAATTAACTGGACCACCTCCTAGGACTCGATCATATTCTTAATATAGTAATATTATTTGAAATGAATCGATACTTAAAGACTCTTAGTTCTCTATATTATGTTCCTTACGACTATCCAAAATTACATTACAAGTATAATGTAATGTATAATATATCAGAGCATATTTTCTAATAACAAGATGAATCACCAAAGTTATGCTGGTAGCTACTGATCGTATAAATCTTTGATTAATCAACGTAATTTGAACAAAGGAAAATCATATATCAAACACAGGCCAGTAAATTTTCTATGTTGACTAATAAAAATGTGGATGTTTAAAATTAGAGAATGTAAAATAATCAGATTTTGGTTACCAAAATGAAAATTGATTAATTTATAATTTAGAAATAACGTTAATGTGGATGTCTTATTTATTTATAATTTTACAAATTTTAAAAACAGTGATGCTTAACACAAAGTGGTGGTGGTTACCACTTAACATATACGATTTAGGGAAAAAAATTCTTGGACATGCATCGTAACCACACATACGATCAAGTTTCAAAACATTTACCTGAAATGATGATCATACACCTTCTTTCTTGTTGTTGTTAAAGACCTACCCAAAATGATAATGTTTTGGCTATATAATACGTTCTTCATTAACATCATCTTCTCACCTTAATTACATTTGCAAAGCTTTTACTTCTTTCTTCTTCTTTTTTTTTTTTATTCATTTGCAAAGCTTTTGAAGAAGCTACAATGGCTGATAACGCACTTGTGAACGCTAGAGAACAACTTTCCAATGTCGTAGATACGTTCCAGATTAATATTGTTGATTACGTTAACGATCTCATAGAAGAGGTAAGTTCCAAATGCTGCGTGTCTTTCTCACTTTATCTTTTGGTTTATTACTTTTTTTCTTTTTCTTTTTTCTGTTCTCTGGTTTGTTAATATTTTCGTTTATCTAGACCAATTGAAAAAATCAACTTAAATATCTAACTTAATTCTTTTTACTCAAATGAGATGGTCGATGTGGATCGGCTGCAACAGATACGAGCTCTGCTGGATAATATCATGAACGGTCTGGAGGCAAACGAGTTGCTGCCACAACCGCCTGATCCAATGGATCATGATCCTGAGCTGGTTGCTCCAATGGATGACCCGGTTGATCCAGTGGCTGACCCGGCTGGTCCAGAGGCTCCGGCTCCAGCTCCAGACGAAATTGTAATCGACGACCACGACGTGCCGCCAAGGTCCAACTAACAGCGACGGGGATTGATAAGTTACTTAGAGCATGCACATAGTTGATACTCTATGAGTATCATTAACAATTTTTTAGTATTAATTTTAATGTTTGTTTATTATTTGAGATTTTTTATGATACTGGCATTGTTCAAGAAAGCGCTAGGCGCTAAGCGGGCGGTGACCCAGTGCCTAGCGCCTAGAACGCTTAATCGGGGCCTAGGCGATTTTTTAGGCGGTTTAGACGTTTATAACATAAAACATTATAAATATGATATTATATATAAAAGTTATATAAAATATCTATATAAAACTAAAAAATATGAAATTATAAACAAAAACTAGACAAAACATTTATTTATATTTATATTAAACAATATATAAATATTTATAACTATATATATATATATATAAATAAAACTCTAATTAAAATTGAAAAAATACATTAAACAAGATCTATGTAATTTTAGGCGGTCAAGGCGGTTATCTAGGCGTCGCATGAGAGCCTAGCGCCTAGTCGGGGCCTGGGCGACCGCCTAGACCGCTTTTTAGAACACTGGATACTGGTGATAAATCTGTTTATAGTGGTGAGACCGATATCGGTATCATTAATATATAAAAAAAAATTATTTGCAAAATCGATTATGTATTGGATTATGAATTTTGCAAAATTATTTATATCATTCATATTAAAAAAATTATTTGCAAAATTATTTATATCATTAATATAAAAAAAAATTATTTGCAAAATTATTTGAACATGTTTTACAACTCAAAACACCTAGGTGTATTGGATTATGTATTTTGGAAGAGTTTAATATTTTTTTGAAAGCACCTGTTATTGAATTAATGATTTTGAAAAACATTCACAAATCTCATGTTATTGAACATGGAATTCACTTAAAAAGATTCAAAGTCATCTAAAATCACTTGTTATTCAATCTATGATATATAAAACTCTTACAAATCTGGTGTTATTCAAAATTTCAGTATTATTTTTAGAAAACCTTTTGACAAGGATTTGAGGAGACTTCTGATACAATTTTAGTTAAATATATGGGCAAGTGCATTTGGCACAAGTACACGAAGGTGAATCTTCAACCTTGTTCAGTTCATCCCAAAGTGTAGTAGGACGTGTGTAATACGCATTAAGATCTAAAGAATTCTGATACAAATGATCCAATTTTTCTTCAACATTGTAGATCTTAGAAATCCTAATTCTCCCCTGTAAGTTCAACCCTAACTCCACTGAGTCTAAGTTCGAGTTCATAGCAGCAGCCACAGTATCTGATTCCGATGCCATTACGAACACAAGACAATTAGATAATGAGGATTAATCGGCCATAACCACACCGAACCAACCAGATCTGTCGCCGACGAAACACGGACTGAGAAACACGAATGATGAGTTGATCGGAGAAATCAACCAATTGGAGATGTAAACTAGATGAAATCGATATGAGAATCAGAAAAAAAAACAAAGGGATCGAGAATCAATCGGAAGAAAAACTCGAAAATCATATGAAATTGTTTAGCCGCCGAAGAAGATGAATGAAGAAGAAGAAGGCGAGAGAGAGGAAAAAGCTTGGTACCATTTTCTGTTTTTTTTTTTTTCCCTCTAAGCCAAAACGTGTTTTCCCTGACCAGTAGTATGCTGCCACGTCACCGATACCCAGTATCAGAGATATCACTGCACTGATACGTATCAGATCTAAATAGAGGCTCTGATCTATTAAAAAATAATTATTTGGGCTATGATACTCTAAAAAATTCACCTATGGACATGGTCTTAGTAATAATTGGTCGATTAATTAATACTACCTGCTTTCTTAATTAGTATATTGGAATAAAATCGTATGTGTAATAGACTTTGGTTTAAAGTTTAAACTGCTTCATATGCTTATCATTTATCCCACCGTACTTGTAATAGAGTTTGATGAAATAAAATATATATATATATAAAAAAAAGACTTTGGTTCAAAATATTCGTATGTTTCTTCTTAAAAAGGCATTTTAAGGAAAATGTAGCACTTTGTTGCACCTGAGTTTAAGCGAGGAACTATGTTACGTTTCCATTTACGGGTAGAAATTGTATCGACGGAAATGTTTTGATACAACTTGGAAGATGGTTTATTACTTGTTAGGAAAAAGTTTTCAACTTTGTGATCGATCATTGATTCTACGGTCCTTTAACAAAAAAAAAAAAAAAAAACATTGATTCTCCGGTTAAGCAGTCGTCATAACAATGATTTTCTTATTCAACCTTTATAATGTGAGTTATTGTGATTTAAGTTTGTGCATAGAATAATTGTCACAAACAATGTTTAAGGAAAACCATAAGAAAAAGAAAAAAGAAAGTAAATGTAGTCACATGCAAAAAGAAGAGAAGAATAAATGTTTCTTATTACCATTTTAATTACTCTAGTTAGGAATTTTTAGTTCCTCTAAATTCAACATTTTACCCTAAACATTCAACAGTTGCACCCTTTAAATATTTTAAGAAATTTTTTCCAAAACTTGTCGACTCTCACTTTGAAAATATGGCTTTCCTGAAATATTTAAAGGTGACATGGAATAGTATCCCATTTGGTATTTCTTGTTACAAATAATTTTCTGAAAAACTATACTATTTGGTATATATATTTTTGAATAGATTATTTGGTAATTGTGAATATATAAGAGTGTGGGTGTTTGAGTTGTATACAACAATAATAACATCAAGAAGTAAATTGAAAATATTTATTTTAATTAAATTTGTGCCTATATACACATATTTAACAAAATCATATCTAAAGAACAATTAATAAATACTAGAAAAATAATGAGCATGTGTTAATTAAGATTGTGTTTTTTTTTTTTTTAAGTGTAGTCCTTTAAATCTTTTTTATTTATTTATAAGTATAGCTTTCCAAATCCTACTCCTTTCCTTACTCCTGCTCAAGCTTGATATAGGTAAAACACTCTCACGGTGTTACTCGAAGACCTTTGACTTTGATTAGTGGGAACACTTTGTTATCGTCCAATCAAAGGAAAGCTTTGGTTTAGTTCCTTTCTCTTTAGTTTTGTTGAATACACTTGGAATATTTTCCACTTAGTAAAAAAAAAGAAGACAAATTTTTACTCTTACCATTTTTTTCATTTACTCTAGTTATGAATTTTCTCTTCATCCTATGCCTTTTTTTTTTTAACTCGTCTTAATTCGTCTTTTTACTCTAAACATTCACCAGTTGCATGCACCATTTATTTTGTTTTAAGAAACATATTCCAAAACTTGTCTACTTGGAAACCATGACTTTCTTGAAATATTTAAAGGTGACAGCCCACAAGAAAAAATACTGTCTTTTTATTAGGACTAGAAGAGTACCCCATTTGGTATTTTATTTTTCTTTTTCATATGCTATTTGATATTTGATGAGTCTGTGTGGCTGTGAGCATCACAATGGCACATTGTGGATTGAAGAAAATTTCCAAATTCACAAGAAATTAAAGTGATGGAAGTGTGCTAAGTAGTGTTGGACAAGAAACGCGATCAAATTATGTAAAACTCAAGTTTAACGTCAAACACTCAAACATGTGTTTTCTGAAAGAACTTTTACATATATGATGCGTGTCCCAGTTAATTATATGATTTTGTTGATAGTTATATGTGTCTAACTATATGTTTTTGTTGATAGTTGTATGTGTCCCAATTAAAGAATATTTAGTTTTTATATATAAAATTTAAAATGCGTTATGCAATGCAACAAATGAGAGAGAGATATAGTTATACTTTTCTAATTAGATGTTTTTTTCTAGAAAATTTACAGAAAATTATATTTCTATAAGATGTTTTTATATATAATTTAGTTTTCTATAAAATGTTATTTTAAGATAATATTTGAAATTTAATTTCCTTTTGATATTGTGAAAGCTTTTATATGTATTTTTTTTTTTTTTGTAAATGTGGATGTTTAAAATTAATGAATGAAAACTTAATAATAAGATTCTGGTAACCAAAAAGAAAACTAATTAATTAGAATTTAGAGATAACGTTAATGTGGATGTCTTATTTATTTTTAATTCTACGATTCTAAAAACAGAAATTCTTAATGCAAAGTGCTGGTGGTTACAACTTATACGATTTAGGAAGAAATAATATATATTACTTACACATTCATTGTAACTACATACGATCACAAGTTTCAAACAATTTACCTAAAATGATGGTCATACACCTTCTTTCTTGTTGTTGTTAAAGACCTACCTAAAATGGTAATGTTTTGGCTATATAATACGATCTTAATTAACACCATCTTCTCACCTTAATTACATTTGCAAAGCTTTTACTTTCTTTCTTCTTCCTTCATTTGCAAAGCTTTTGAAGAATCTACAATGGCGGACCAAGTTAGAAACGCTATTTACACTGTGTTAGCTAGGTTCCAGGTTAATCTTATTGATAACCTTAGGTTTCACGTAAACGAGGTATGCTGCGTGTCTTTCTCACTTTATCTTTTGGTTTATTACTTTTTTTTTTTTGGTTTGTAAATATTTTCGTTTATCTAGAACAATTGAAGAAATCAACTTAAAATTGATATTGAAAATATCTAACTTAATTCTTGTTCCTCAAATAAGATGGTCGATGTGGATCAGCTGGTAGCAATCCGTGTGCTGCTAGAAAATATCATGAACGCTCTGGACGCAAACGAGTTGCTGCATCCAGTGGCTGACCCAGTTGATCCAGTGGCTGACCCGGCTGGTCCAGAGGCTCAGGCTCCGGCTGGTCCAGAGGCTCCGGCTCCGGCTCCGGCTCCAGACGAAATTGTAATCAACGACCACGACGTGCCGCCAGGGTCCAACAGCGACGAGGATTGATAAGTTACTTAGTGATAACTTGACGATTAATAAAGAATTAATTCTACTTGCTTTCGTAATTAGTATATTGGAATAAAGTCGTACTTGTAATAGACTCTGGTTTACAAGGTTATATGCTTATCATCCCATCGTACTTGTAATAGACTTTTGATAAAATACAATATATAAATATATTATAAAAAAGACTTTGGTTCAAAATATTCGTATTTTCATTCTTGAATTTCAAACATCCACATTTTTCTAAGTCGAATCCATTTAGGAATTCCTTATGTGTCTTCTTTTTTTTTTTTTTGACATCTTTGGATCGACAAGGCCCGATCCATAGCCAATTCCTACTACGCGGGGTAACGCGACTTAGTGGAGTCGAACTCCGGTGGAGAAGGCGGAGTCAAATGGACTTAACCACTTGACTAAAGGCACATCTACTCCTTATGTGTCTTCTTAAAAAGGCATTTTAAGGAAAGTTGTAGAGCTTTCTTTATGACTTTCTGCACCTGATTTAATTAAGCGAGGAAATAGACACCACCATTTTCATTTATACGAAGAAATTGTATCGAAGTAAATGTATTGATGATACAACTTGGAAGATGGTGTATGGAAAAAGGTTTCAACATTGTGATTGAAAGATTGATTCTCAGGTCCTTTAACAAAACATAAAAAGCTTTGATTCTCCAGTTAATGTAATTTTTAAGTTTGTGCATAGAATATTGCACAACAATGTTAAAGAAAACCGATACCATAGAAAAAGAAAAAACAAAGAGAAAATGTGCTCAAATATACCTTAAAAGTGACTTAATTACTGAGATAACACCTATGGAGAGGGGTCTTACTCAAATAACACTTAAAAGTTGTCAAAAGTCTTTTAAGCTTCTCTAACTATTTTATTTACATGTTTGCCATTTAGAATTAAAAAAAGAACCATTAATCGAGATTAACTAAGAAGAGTGAGAAAGTGGAAAAGAGTGTGTGTTTGGTTTTTGTGTCGGGAACAACGGTCGGGCCTGAGGGAGAAATTCCGGTAAGATATCCGGTTGTGTTTCAATTAATGAGTTTGAGTTGTTCTGCTATTATGTTAGCAAAAGTATCAAACTGCTATGATTTTATAGTAGAAATCGTTAATTGACTTACAGACGGATCTGTGTACAATTTGCGACGGCGAGGTTACGGCGAAGATACGGCGGCGATTAACGGCGGCAAATGTGGTAAGAATTTCTTAGTAAACCCTTATGTTAATTTTTGAGGGATTTGAAATAGTTAGCTGTTGGAATAATTTTAAACCTAATCGTTTTGTTTTGTGATTTATGTTCCGATGGGATAAAGAGGTGGATTGATTAGTTGATCAAGCGAGTGAAGAAATGGGAGAAGAAGGTAACAAATTATGTATTTGAATTTGGCGGGGTTGATAATCTAATGATAGAAATATGGGATAGCGTTTCTTTGTACGTATATTTAGTAGAGTTACAAAAGAGAGACATAATGAAGTTGTACTTTGTGCAGTAATTGCGAAGAAGAGCTACCCCAAAAGACTTGATGCTGCAGGGAAAGCACCAATAAAGGGAAGGAGCATGCATATTAACTGCACCTTGGATAGTTTAGCAAGATTGAAAGAGAAGATTGGGGAAGATGCTTACTCTCAGATACGTGATCAGTCTAAAGTGGGAGTATTGTTGAAGCTTGCTGACAGTTCTTTTGTATGGTGGGCAAAGCTTGTGCATCACCTGTTAACCCATCAATTGGCAATTAGTAGGCCATATGAGATTTGGTGTCTCATTGAAGGGAGTCCGATAAGGTTTTCGCTTCATGAATATGAAGACATAACTGGTTTGAATTGTGCGGAAATTGATGTAGAGGACATAGTGGCGGTTGACCACAGAGAGTTTTGGGGAGATATAAAGGTGGCTGCAGAGAAGGGGCCGAACTGGAATGAGTTGGAGTCAGCATTAAAAAGTTGTAGGAGTTGGAGTTTAGAAAAGAGGAAGATGTTTGGTCTGTTGTTCGTGGTGCATGTAGGTATATTGGGGATATCTAGGTCAAGTAGGATACCTTTGGACTATGCCAAGAGAGTGCTTGACACAGAGGCATTTGAGAGATTTCCATAGGGTCGAGTTGGATTTAAGGAGCTTATTACTTCAATAAAAGTTTTGAGTTATGATAGAACTTCATATGCTATCCATGGCTGTCCGCATATCCTGAATATATGGGCATTTGACAGTATTCCACATCTTGCAAAATCACATTGGAACCAAGTACCGGATGATGGTGATGGCGATGAAGATGAACCAGAACCAGTGCCTCTCTTGCAATGGAATGGTGGTCGTCCAAGAATCTGTTTAAAAAATTTCTTTGAGACAGAGAAACTGAGAAAGAAGAAGGTATGTTTGTTCTCCTCAACTTTCATTACCCATATGTAGTCATAACAGTTAAATAGCTTATTTATGTCCTCCTCATGTAGATCAAGGTGCAGCATTTAGTGGTGAGGCCTATTGAAGAGATTTATCCTGTTTGGCCTGGAGAGAATGCTGTGTATGGGGAAGGTGTAGGTGCTAATAAGCTGGTGGATAATCTCCTGCATGATATTATTAATGGTGGTTTAAAAGAAAGTGATTTTGGTGACCCGGAGATTGGGAAGAAAACTGGAAAGAGGAAGAAGGAAGTGGACAGTGAGGATGATTTTGTTGACCCACCTAAGAAGAGAAAAGCAGAGACAGAGAAACGCATAAAGAAGATAGGTAATAGTGGGAAGCAATTAAGAGATGTGAGTGATGATAGTGGGGAAGAGGTTCTGGAGAAACAAGGAATGGAGAGACTTTTTAAGATGATAGGCAGTTTGTCTGAAGAAATGAAAACATTGAACACCAATTTTGTGGCTGGGCTTGAGAAAGTAGACCTAAAATGCGAAGGGCTGAAGAAGAGTGTGACAGATCTGCAGGATGATGTGGAGAAGCTGAGGAACAAGGCAGAAGAGAAGAATGATGAGAACGAAGAAGATTCTGCAAATGGTTCAGAAGAAGGCACAGGAACCAACTCTGAGGTATGATGGGTACATCCTCTATTTAATTAGGAAGCATATGAGGTAAATATACTCTCAAAATTTTCACAAAGAGCCTGTTTTATGTATGCAGAAAACCGCAAGTTAGTTGCTTTGGGAGTCACATTTTTCAAGCTTGTGTCTCTTTATTTACTTATGATTCTTGAACTCATTGTTTTAAAAAGTGAACTTGTAAAACATAATTGAGTGGTAAATGGAGACTTAAATGTTAGCATTTGTAATGGCCAAGTTTATGTCTGTTTTGTACTTCTGATTTCTGAATCCTGAACTCATTGTTTTTAAAAATGAACTTGTAAAACAGAATTGGGTGGTTAATGGAGACTTAAATGTTAGCATTTTTAATGGTTATGTTTGTTTAATCTCACTAAATGTTTGTTGTCTAGATTATTGAACTACGTTTATTTAGTCATGGCATAAGCAGGAGAAGCAGACTTCTCAAGAAGGTTATCCCATTTCCGTAGTCGTCAGGAGGGAAAAGGAAAAGGGTAAGGGTAAAAGGAAAGCAGGTTCAAAGAAATCAAAGATAACAGAATGTGTTGACCCAACGAAGACGTCCAAGAAGTTGTTTATGGAGGAAGATTCAGGGAGCATGTCACCTTTGGTAAAGGATCCAAAAGGTGGGTTAATGCGTGACTCTGTAATGCATAATCTGATTGGTGAAACGTCATCTCCTGCTAAACAATTCAAGCCCTTCTCTGAGGCTGATTGGGATAGAAGAGATACAGGATCTACAGCGGGAGTGATAACTAAGTCGATGTTGCATAAGCAGAATACTTTTCCCCTTGGCAGATGCATAAAAAAGGAACCACCATCACCCAAAAAGTCAAAGTTGACTCCTTTATCTGAGAAGAAAAAAACAAAACCTGATTTGGTCTCAGAGTGGTCTCATTCTAAAGAGAATGATAAAGAGAAGAACTCAACAGCCGGACTAGACAAGTTGGTAGTCTTCTGTGGTAAAGAAGATTATGTTGATCGTCCATGTCGGTCTAGAAACCTTGCTTCTACCCAGCTGGACCCATTTGTTGGGAGTTCAATAGTTAAGCGGATTATGAGTGGTAAAATCCTTTCTCCTGCAGCTTATGATCCTTTTGAACCGGTCAGTCCTGAAAAGATGGATAAGTTAGAAAAATTCATTGACCATGAGCTGTAAGTTCCAATCTCATTTATTTACCTTACTTTCGAACTCGTAAGCCTTCACTAGGTAAGCTTAATTGTTTTCTTATATGTAGGGATAACCCTTTGGATTCCACGAATTCATCTGCCATGTTCTACATGAAGATCAAGATTCCAAAAGAGCATTGGCCTGAAGGAGAACCTGAATACGGATGGCTAACAGATGTGGTAAGTGAATGTATTAACAAGTAAGACATGTTAGTGTTTAAGACTATAATTTTACCTTAAGCGCTGTGTTTCATTCTTGTTGATGTCACAGCAATTGGCTCCAATCATGCAAATGCTCCGGAAAAGGTCAATGCAAACTGTATCTCCATTTTTGCCTGATAGGATTGCATTCCTTGATCCCTGGTTTGTGAATCAGTGGGCAGTAGATTACATCAAGTTTGATAAAGACTCCAATTGGAAATTTACTGATAAATATATTGATGTGTATAATGGGGAATCTCCACCTAATGGAAAGACATACAAGAAGTGAGTAAAGGATATAGATATTCTGTACCTTACTCACAACATTGGGAAAGATCATTGGGTAGCTCTGGAGATAAATTTAATGAGGCGGAGGATCAAAGTGTATGATAGCATCGTGTCCTGCTACACTGATGTGGAAATTTACGAAGCTTGCAGGCAGTTCACTAGGATGATACCTGCATTGATTCAAGCTATGGCACCTGTGGAAGAGAGAAAAAAACTTGGTGCTTCAGCCTTCTCCATCTACAGGGTAAAAACAGCTCCCCAAAACTTTCAAACAGGAGACTGTGGAGTATATTCTGTCAAATTCATAGAGTGTCTGGCCATTGGTATTAGCTTTGAGGGTTTGTACGATTCAGCCATGCCTGGTATTCGGTTGAAGCTTGCTGCAGAGTTGTTTGATGAGGTCCCAGATTCCGATTGTTTTATCCAAATTAAAGACCTTCTTGGTGTTTACACCGTAGGTGTAGAGTTCATCTCCCAGAATGACCCTTCTTAATCTAGAGTTAACATGTAGTGTGTGCCGTGTGCAACTTTACAAGAATGCATACTCGGAATCTTACCAATTAGAGTATGCACCATTGTAAACATGACACTGTTTTATGTTTCTAGTATTTTGTAGGTGTAGAGTTCTACTTTGGTTCTAGTATTTTGTCATGAAACCTACTAAACCCTTAACAGGGAGAACAAACTAGTATCTATTTGTTAGAGATATTTCTTTCATAATTGAGAAACAAGGTTATTAAAGCTTATTATGAGATAACATTACAACATAATAATAAGGGTTTAAGTGACAGAGTTTTGAAACAGAACAATAGGACAGAGTTTTGAAACAGAACAATAGGACAGAGTAGTGGCATTAAATAACAAGACTAATAATTCAGGTACTCGTTTTCATCGGAGTTTAACACATATTAAGAAACCTAACTGCGTAATTAAAGGCAAAGCAATGTTCGCAAATATCAAAACTTGGAGGATGGACTAACTTGCAAATCGGACCGAGTTGATCTAAATTAAAATACCGGTAGAAAACACAAGCACCGGATGCCCCCATTGATTTGATCTGTAGCTCGACCTGATCTGCTATGAGGAAACCTTCGGTTAGGTCAGTCACCTTATCTAGAAAGGCATCAACGACGTAGTTACCGTCTTCTACTGCTCCACAGCAAAGGAGCATCATCCCAAAAGCGAAGAGTGCGTTTAGGTTTAGTGTAGAGGATTCAGCTAACATATCAAGGGCGTCTTGGGATGGACCATCCTGAGTCAGCCTCCGGAGAGATTCCACAAAGAGTGCCGTGATGTTACCCTTCTCATAGCACTTCAGTAAGAATGGCCGAAACATCGAGGTTTCAGCTGCTAGCTCACCATTGTAGATAAATTCACTTAGATCAGCCTTTTGTAAGACCTCCCTTGAGTAAACTGCCTCCTTCATAGTGGGTCCTGCAGCAATGAAAGGACCTAGCAAACGAAAACCTTGTTCGCCAATCCGGCTGAGAATGTTAGCTAGAATCGGCGGTGGGAAGCAATCCATTTTTTCCATTAGGGTTCAGGGGCGGACCCATGTACATACTTGGGAGGTCAAGTGACCTGGTCAAATTTAGAAACTCTTAAACAATTTTGAGCAAAATTATTAATTGACCTCTGTTAATTTTTCAGTTTGCACGCTTGTCCATTTCTGGTTTCACTTAAAAGGAAAAAAAACATTCAATATTTATTTCCTTTCTTAACCTTTTAATGACAATTATAACATTAAATACAAATTGAGTATAAAAATCCTACGAAAATATCCTATTTCTGGTTTTAGATTCAATTTTATTATGGTATAATTGCTGTAGATGCAATCTCCATCAAATGCCACTATCAACAATTTATAATTAACAAAATTAATCTATAAATGTGAACAATTTTTTTTAGATATTGAAGGATATGCTAAGTTTTTCTTCTATTTAAACTAATCATTTTCGACATTTTTCATTTTATTATTATAATAGTTTATCTTTGAATTATTTTTTAAAAATGCAATAGTTTTTCTCAAAATTTAGTTCTTATTTTTAAAGGGATTTTTCTGATATTTTATTTATAAAATATATATAACAAAATAAATTATCTACGATAATATTTTTGCACCGGGTAAAAACAATTTCTGGATCCGCCACTGTTAGGGTTTATGTTTGTTTCAAATGCTTTCAACACATCCTCTTACTTACAACGTTTATAGATGGGTATCAATAATCATCTACTTGTGTTTAATTACAGTGGGTGAGAATAGACGTGAGCAGATGTGCCTTAACTATATCATAAATGCTACCACATCTGAAATGGAGTGGATACAGAGTCACTATGCTGTTGGAATACAAACATAGCGAACTGAACATGTTAGAAAGTAAGTAAATTGTCTTCTTCTTGTTATAGATACATTTTACGTTGTGACCATATTAATGTGTTGTGGTCAATAACTACCATTGGACTTAGTGTAGTTACTTACTTTACACAACTCTGGTTAGAGAAATATATTTAAATTAAATGATGGACATTACATATAATTTAACTTGACGACATAGAGTTATTTTACATATAGCAATGAAAATACGAGTACATAAGTTACATACTAAACGTAAAACACTCCCCCTAATTTAATGATGCCTAGAGATATAGGATGGTTAACACATATTACGTAACCTTGTAGCGTATGTTAAGGCAAAACAATGTTTGCAAATGAGAATGTCTACAGGATAATGGTAAAGCATGCAAACCGGGCGATGTTGTGTTGGTTTAAAATAATCCCAAAAGATACGAAATCCAAGTAGACCCATTTCCTGAATCTCGTCTTCGACATATTCCGCGATCATGAATCCTTGAGCAAAGTTATCAACCCTTTGTAAAAAGCCATCCAACATCTCTTTACCGTCTTCAACTGCTCCACAGCAAATGAGCAACAGGCCATATGCATAATGACCAAATATGCTATGTTCAGCGGATTCACCAAGACAATCCATTGCTTCTTGAGAAGGACCTTTTTGCGTCAGAAACCGGAGAGATTCCATGTATTTGGCAGTCGGGTTTCCATACTCGAAGCACTTCTGTAAGAAATGCCTATATATCGAGTCCTCATGTGCATATTCACCATGCTCGAAAAATTCATGAAGATTAGCAGTACGCATTACCTCGTTTGTATACACAAGCTGCATATAGGCAGGTCCAGCGGCAATGAAAGGACCAAGAAAACGAAAATCTTCTTCTCCCACACGACGAATGATGTCAGATACAAGATGCTCCGGTATGTAAGTAGACATATTATGAGGTGTAATTGCAGATGAGATAAGTTTCTTGGTAAATGAGACGCTCGAAATATGTCCTCGTTTGTTCTAGGGTTTGAGTTAATTTATGGTAGATTTAGTTGGAAGAGTATTTATTAAGTCCCAAGGTTATTAGTTGTTGAGGTTAATAAATTGTGACTGTAATAATGTGGTCTAAAAATAACTAGATGTAAATTCTTTTAAATGCAGGAGTAGGCTTGGTAGATTTTAAATCTTGTCATTTGTACTTATTATCATTAATTGAAACAAAAAGTAAATATATTGTCTACTCATGAGTTGTCTTAAAAATTACCACATCAAGCAAGATACCAATATATGCATGCATAAGAAACTAAAGTAACACATTTGCCAATATACATAAAACATGCACAAGTTCTCTAAACTTGTGTCTGAACTAGACATTTACAACAAACTTTCATCCAACAACTTAATATTGAAATTAACATAAGTTTATAACACGACCAAAAGACCCCAAAATTAGCTAAATTGTTTAAAACATTACAACTGCAAATTTAAAGAAGCTTAAGTTTTTAACAAAACCAAAAGGACCAACAATAAAGTAACATCAATAATCAACTTTCATCTCCGGATGATGAGACTTCGCAGCTCCGCCCATCGTGAGTGACGCAATACTCACGGAGCTCATCGGGGATGGGTCCAACTCTGTCCAACCCGTTCTTAACCCAATCTTTCGGGTGAGCCTCCATCTCCCGAATTCCCCTCTCCAAGTCCTCCAGTTCCTTAACAAGTTGGCCGTGACGCTTAATGAACTCCGCATGATTGCCCTCCAACTACAACACACAATATTACATATAGCGAAAATCAATCAATATGGCTCATATACGTATTCAATAATCAACAATACACTTATCATATAAGTCCATTAGCTATGAAGATTAACCCATACAAACACAATCAATCAAATCAATTCTCAAACCCTAAAAAGTTCACAACTTTAAACATTATACTAACCTTTGCAAGCCAATCTTGCGTCTTGGCCCGTACATAACAATCGGAGTTAGTGAGAAAATCTTGTGGGTAGCAAATCCTTCCGGGAATAAAATCTCTACCTCCCGGTTCAATCTTCTTCACAGTATCTTGGATACTCAATGTATCCATTGTTAGGCTTTGTGGACCGAGATGTCCCGGGGATGATAGAGGCCGCGGCTCACCAATACGCCTCCTGACG